TTGAGTTAAGGTTGTCTTTTATTTTCCTATTTATTTGGTAGGTTTAAAAGTAGGACTTTTCTGATTTGTAGTGGCTTGGTATAGTAGATCTACCTGGCGTCCAATTTAACAGAACAGCTAAAATAATTTATTTTTCCCTGATTACGAAGTAATCACCCACTCCCTTCTCCACTTGAGTGAACCGGAGCTACAAGGTTGACATCAGGGACAACTGAACTTAAAGTAACGTTTTGGGGGTTACATGGTGCATTGAATCAGTAATTAAATTAGCTTTCAAATGAAGTCTCACACTTTATAATACGTTACAGTTTTTTTTTATCCTGATAGAGGGCGCTAAAATTAAAAGAGTATCGCAATAAACTGACATATTTCTGACTTCCCCATAAAATTACCTTTTTAATGATGTGCCGTACATGGTACATTCCTTATTTAAAATTAAGAGGTTGGAGAAGTGGAAGGGAGGGGGTTGACACATGAAAGATGTCTGTATTATAAAAATGTGTTTAATTTGGAATAAAAATCGGCCTGTTTTAGCATTTTCTAAAAAACCAATGATTAATGCCGAAAAACAGCATGAAACTGTTTTGAGTGACCCACTCTGTATATCAAAAATGGCTAGATTTATCGAATTATTTCATAGAACAAAATTTGCTTTAAAATACATTTTTTACAAGATGCGCTACATAAGAAAGATCCTCCCATCGAAAAAAAATTATTGAGCGCAGCGCCATTTACTCAATTTATATCTAAAACTGAAGCTGTCTTAGCGCTCTATAAACTGGCTTTTACACAAATAAAATATTTGTATTACTTACCAAAATATCCGGCCTGGGAGTTTTTATTGGTACACCCTGTATATATCATCAATTGGCGAAGTAATTCGTTGGCTATCGCCGCCTACTGGGAGTTTAGTTAATATTATAGGAATGTAGGAATCTATTTTTAAACCAAACAACTCAAATATATTTTATATTTATTGATAGTTATAGATGATATACAGAGTGTCCCGAAATTAGACGGTCATATTTTAACAGCGTAATCTTCATCCTAAAATAGTAGTAAAAGTCCATATAGATATAGGTCCGAAAACGTTTCTTTTCCGAGATACAGGGTGTTAAAGGTGAAGTCCTGATACCACAATTTTGTAAATAATTTCTAAACGTTTAAAGATAATTAGGTAAAATTTGGTACCAATACTTACCTTTTAACGCTCCATTTATTGGACTAAACCTCAGTTTTTGATCATCTTCTTAGGTGGGTAAATTATGGGGAGCTTAGGGTAAAATTGCTCTGTTTTTTTTTGTTGATAGTTTTTAACATTTTTGACTATAAAATTTGGAAAACCAATATTTTCTGTATAATAAAGCTGCATTTGTTGCATCTCGCTAGGACGCCCCATTTTCAAGAGAAAAGCATGTTACCTTATTCGAAAGTGTAAACAATAATTAGTAGGTCTGTAGAATCAGAAATTTTATTTTTTTTTTAACTTTGGAAAACCGGTCATTAAAGAAATTTTAGAAAATATTTACAAAAATGAAAACGCATTTTTGGACAATCGCAAATTTAAACTTCTAGAAAGTGTAATTAAATGCCTTAATTCTTAGTTTTAATTTGAACTTATTGTAGTTTGATGGGTGTTGGAGCCATGTTGGAGCTACAATGTTTGTGCCCAATAAAGAAGACTAAAATGCGATTTAATTGGTACCAAAATCGTTATAACATTAAATTTGGAGTTACAATATGTGTGCTTTAGATTGACGATGCGCCATCTGGACTTCACTTGTAACACCCTGTATCTCGAAAACTAAACGTTTTCGGACCTATGTTTATATAAACTTTTACTCCTATTTTTAACCGACTTCAAAAAAGGAGGAGGTTCTTAATTCGTCGCAATATTTTTTTAAATTTTTTTTTTTGTATGTTCAGCGATAATTCTTTAATACGGTGTCCGATTTCAATGATTCTTTTTTTTTTTAGAAAGGGGGTACTTCAGGGGTGGTCCCATATAAATTTGGTCAAAATATAATAATTGGGCCCATGAGAAAATCCTCAAACTCTTCATTTTTTATGTATGTTTAGCGATAATGCTTTACCACCTTGTCCGATTTATATGATTCTTTTTTGTTAGTAAGGTGGTCCCATATAAATTTGGTTAAGATGTGGTGACGGCATCTTCACGTTTTTTAATTCGGTTTTTTTAAATTTTTAATTTATAATACTTGTAGGATGTAGATTACGCTGTTAAAATATGACCGTCTAATTTCGGGACACCCTGTATATTGGAAATTCGAAATAATAGTTATGACGTAGCGGTGTTCTTCTAATTGTAATCGGACCCTAGATATATGGATACGGAAAGTGATGAATTGGAGATAGGTAAATTGTATTTATTGTATTAAAGGAACAACAAATATAAGTACAATTAAATAAGTATATTAATATAACAATTTTTTAATGTCTGTATAATTTTTTTTCACATAGATTATTAAATTAAAAAAATAACTATTAAAACACGAAATGTTAATTTTTTCTCTTTTACAACACAAAATATACAATAGTGTTGAATCAAAATTTTCTCTTGGCAGCAGGTGGTTTTTGTGACCCGACAATTATGATGCTTTGCATCTCATGAATTAAAGCTAATTATCTTTCAATCTTAAGGTGATCACACCCCTTATAATTTTTGGACAAGAATATCTCAAAATATTTAAATTTTGACAAAATAAATTAGGCAATAATATCTAGAATATGCATATATTTTAATGTTTTAATTCCTTCCAGTTTCCAAAAAAAAACTAAAATGGCTTTAATTTTAAAATATCATATTGAAAATAAATGCATTCCTCGACAGCACTATTCCAAATATAATCCACAAATTTAAGCTCCTAATGTCTTGTTAATGATTTCTTAAAATTCGCCAAAATTAGTGGCTAAAACGCCTCGTTAAGTGCTATCTTCTGGTGTAAACTGGTGTAAATTGTTGCTAGAAACGAATAATGATAGAGTGTACGATATATACGATAGTTACAAGCGCGTTACACCAGAAGGCAGCACTTAACGAGATGTTTTAGCCACTAATTTTGGCGAATTTTAAAAAATCATTACCAAGACATTAAGAGTTTAAATTTCGGGATTATATTAAGAATAGTGCTGTTGAGGATGCATTTATTTTCATTATTATATTTGATTTTTTTTCTCGGAAACTGAAAGGAATTAAAACTTTAAAATATAGGCATATATCTAGTTAACATCACTTAATTTATTTTGTCAAAATTTTAATTTTTCAACAAAATTACTTTTTGAAATATCCTTGTTCGAAAATTATAAAGGCTGCTGCATTCACCTTAATATACCAACATACACGGTGTTTAAAAATTAATACGACAAATTTCAGGAGGTGATTGCTCGTATGAAATTAAGATGGGTCTTGCCTATAACAAAATTTCCTCAGCCCACCCCTTCAGAGGTGGTGACTAAAATTGAGTTTCTATTTTTTTTTTCTAAAATTTCAGTAAAGTTAGAAGCTTGAAATTCTGTAATTTTCGTGCACTCGCAAAGGACTAAAAACGGTTATTTTTTCAATATTCCTGTTACATTATAGGAGGGTGAAATTAGCAACCCTTACTTTATTTCATATCAAAACTTTTTTTCGAAATGAAGTTTTATGAAATAATTTTGTAACTTGAAATCCTTGTTTTATTTAAAATTTTTTTTTACTTTTCAATTTTTTTCCCAAAACCAATAGCTTCATAGAAAAAAAAATACTGTTTTTCACTCAATTTATTAAAAAAAATGATAAATTAGGGTGTTTATTTTTTTTTCTCTGAAGCTATTGGTTTTGGGAAAAAAATTCAAGAATAAAAAAAAAATTAAATAAAACAAGTATTTCAAGTTATAATTTTATTTCATAAAAGTTCATCTCGAAAAAAAGTTTTGATATGAAATAAAGTAAGTGTTGCTAATTTCATCACCCTATAATGTAACAGGAATATTGAAAAAATACCCGTGGTTAGTCCTTTGCGATTACAGAATTTCAAGTTTCTAGCTTTACTGAAATTTAAAAAAAAAATTAAAATTCAATTTTAGTCACCACCTTTTAAGGGTGATATCTCGAAAAGGGGTGGGCTGTTTGCAGGTATAATCGACTCACCTCGAAATTTTGGTGCTATGTAAGGCCAACCAGAAGATATTTTTGTTTCATTGTTTGTTTATTTTGTTTTTGTATTAAAATAAAATATATTTTTTGTAGATTCTAATTTATTTATGGTTCATATTTATAGAAAAAAAAAATAATATTATTCTTTTCAACACATTCTTGTATCAACCATTTGTATGCAAGTCATAGTTGGTAATAGACATATGGTTGGTATTAAGATTAGATTCAGAAGAATGCAAATACCATGGTATGACGCTGACAGTGATTCGTATTCGTGATCCGAAAAATGGATTTTTTAATTGCAAAAAGGATTCGGATATAGGATCCATGCCATTGTGCGCTGAATAGCTATTTATTTTTCTCTCTTTTCAATAATTCAACCAGGAGACAAGGTTTAATTAATTCCTAGCAATGAGAAAAAATGAATATTCAAAATTAGACCATTAAAAGTTTTGTCTTCTAATCTATAAGTTCTTGATTACTTTGAATGTTAGGCTACTATTGAACTTAAGTCGCACTGTTATGTAATTAGGATACCTTGTTTATATTTAAGCTATTGTGTACATTTATGTAATTTAAATTACTGTAAACTGAATAATAATATTTTTTATTTTGTAAGCGTCTAAAATTACAAAATGACATCTCCATTTCACAAATTATTTTACAAAAGATCATTAAGAGACCCTTCAAACAAGGTGGCACACAACCTCACTTTCCATTTAAGATTTTAGGGGTGTACCTACAGCACCCTGTTCATGTATATGGTATAAATATTTAGTTTAGTAAATAATTTATATATTATTTTAAAAATAAAAAAAAGAAAAACCTTGATAATATTACTTACCAAACGGTAGTGATGTCCCGTAATATCGATGCTCGATAAAAACCAACACCGCGTTGAAAATTGGTGCAATGTCGAACAAAAAACCAGAGTTTTGTGCTGTAATTGAAATATCTCGATTGCCCCCCGTATAAACGAATACTGGACCGCCCTTACGATAGTACTTTGCGTTAACCATGTATCTCAAATAAAAATATTTTGTTATTGGCGTTGCCGAAAAGTGATCCACTGGTACTTCGATATACCTCGTTTCTAAAGAATATAAATTAAAACTCTCAAATCCTCTAATAAAAATCAACAACACTGTTATTATTGGAAATAATTTTGATAAGATATTATTTTTGATGTTAAACGCCATCATAACTAAAACTCTTGCACACCTCTCGCCGTTAACACGAAACTAAGCAATACACGTCTGTTTTTGAAATTTATAACTATTCAAAAATTTCATGAATGCTTAGATAATGTCCATGAATCAATATATTATCAATCGAGTTGATTATTTACTAAAATAACTACAGATTAATATTTACAAAAAAAACTTGAATACATCCTAAATTCAAAAAAAAATGTAAAAACTTTTAAATAGTGACCATATGGGCAAGGTCCAGTAGCGCAGGACGACGCTAATGCTTAAAGACGCCGCCTAACTTAAATTAAATAAGGTTATTTTCACAGCAAATTTACATGGAAACGAAAAATGATCCGCTTAAAATAATGGTTTCACTACTCCAACAGCAAAAGACGCATCATATTTCAGATATAAAAAAATTCTAGTGATTTTTAATCAAGTTTATTTAAAGTAATATTTCAATTACCTTTTTCAAATACCAGGTAGTGTAGCCGAGTTGAGTCAATAATCCATTTAATGTCTAATTTATCTAATTTTCCACATCATTATTAATTAATTATTATTAATAATTATTATTTTCAATTTTTACTATTTTCTCAATCTCGGCCTTTACCGGTGGTTTGTAGTTGTCCACAGGATGATATCTAAGCAGACGTAGCTTATACGTCGCAAGTATATTAATCAAACGGTTATTGAATATTTAGAAATTTTCTTGTCATAATTAGGCGTGGGCAAAATAATCGAATAATCGATTACACTGGCCATCAAAATTACACTTTTTCACTGATGAATGACTTATGTCACATGATGTTTACTAATTTTAAGTCGCTGTTTCTAAATATACCCCCACTTTTTTTCTGACAGCTCTTGTTTACGAGTTATAGCTTTCACTAAAAATTCGCTGTATTATAGTGTTCATTTGCAGTTTATTTAATAATAATTATTGAATTATTATACATATTTAATTTTATTTGGAAATACCATTAATTTATAATCCTCTTTAATGATCCCTCTGTTGTACAACCGCGGACATCCCCTGTAGTTTCTTAGAACATACTTATAAAGGTAAAAGTACCTCTCTTTAATGACCGGTAACGCCCAATTTCAGAATTCTTAAGAAATGATCTTTTGCTATTTTAGGGGAAGGTTTAGTAAGACAATAGTGAAATTATCTTTCTTGTTTGAATTATTATTTTATTTTGTAATTTGATATGGCATCGTCAAGAAGAGTATGTGTGAATGATTCAAACAATTTTTGTTTCATTTGCAGAGAGTATGTATTTAAAGAATACCGTTTAAATGTGAAAACGTTCGTAAATGAGGCTTACAAAAATTACTTTGGGAACCCGCTGGAAATGAAGAATAAGCCTTGTATTCCGCAAGAGGTATGCAAAACATGCGTTGAGTTCCTACGTTTATGGACAAATAAGAAAAGACATAGCTTCAGGTATAAAACCGCTATAATTTGGAATGAACCCATGAACTACCATGACGATTATTATTTTTGTTTGGTGAACATAACTGGTATAATTCGAAAATATCGAGCCAAATGGGAAATATCCTTACATATAATCGGAACATAGACGTGTCCTGAGCCCTAAGTCTACACCTGAACCTCAATCTGGTACTTTACAGGAAGAGCCAGAAGATTTTGAGACGAAAAACGACAATAGTGATAGTGACTTTGAATGCGACCTGGGAACGCCAAAACCATTCAATCAAGATGATTTAAACGACTTAATTAGAGATCTGGGACTGTCAAAGTCAGCTTCAGAAATTTTGGCTTCAATGCTAAAGAAAGAAAATTGGTAACAAAAGAAACTAAAATTTCTTATTACCGCCCAAGAGAACAGAATTTTCTCAAATATTTTGCTGAAGAAGACAATTTCGTATTTTGTAAAGATGTACCTAGATTGATGGCTGCAATGGGATTACAAAATTATGTTTCTAGTGAGTGGCGTTTATTCATAGACTCGTCAAAACGGAGTCTAAAATGTGTTCTTTTACACAATGGGAATAAATTAGGGTCGTCGCCTATTGCACATTCTACAAAAGTAAAAGAAGAATATACAACTATTGCTCTGGTTTTGGACAAAATTAAATATGTGGAAAATAACTGGATCATATGTGTTGATTTAAAAATGGTCAACTTTCTATTAGGACAGCAGGGTGGTTACACAAAGTATCCTTGTTTTCTTTGCTTGTGGGATAGTAGAGCTAAACATCAATATTGGGTTAAAAAACATTGGCCTACTCGGAAAGATCTAGTTCCAGGACAACAAAACGTAATAAACCCACCATTAGTGTCAAGAGATCGTATAATTTTGCTTCCGTTGCATATAAAATTAGAGCGTATAAAACAGTTTTTCAAAGGTCTTAACAAAACTGGAAATTGTTTTCTATTTTTATCAAAAAAATTCCCGAAACTGAGTGTAGAAAAGATAAAAAGATATTAAATTTATTCTTGTATATCCAATTGTAATTTAATTGTATGGAGCGCAATACAAAAACATGATTTAGCACAATAACGTATAAATTTTGCATTGTATAACGTAATAAATGCAAAATTCAGTTATAACAGTTATCACGAAATTGGTAGCACCTTGCATCAAGTAGCTGTGCTCTCGGACGGTGGACGCTTGCAACCATATTAGTGTAATACAAACAATAATAAGCGTACATTCGCAAAAATGTCCATAAGTTCAGTTTATTATGATGAGTTCTAGTCGACGGATTATTACGAAATCCAAGGAACGGTACGAACAAATTCATGCAAAATTCATGGACTGGAGAGCAATAAATCAAGTAAATTCTTACTCAGAAAACGTATTACTTGCCTATTTTGGAAATTTGGCCCATAGTTTTAAGCCATCCACTTTATGGTCAACCTATTCAATGCTACATTATCAGTTAAAAATGACATAGGTATTAGCAAATACCCCAAATTGCGTGCTCATTTAAAGCGAAAATCTGATGGATTCAAGTCCAAAAAAATCAAAAATTCTCTCCGCCACCGACATGAATAATTTCGTGAAAAACGCACCAGACAACAAATATATATTTAATGATCAAGGTAAAACATTTTTAATATAATTTCTGGTGCCTGCCGTTGTCATGAACTGAAGGATTTGACCATAAACGATATTAAAGAAATTAAAAATAGGCTACTGATTGAAATACGTAATACTAAAACAAAAGTTTCACGATCTTTTCATATTTCCAGATTCTTCTATGATATTTTGTAACAGTAAATTTTACTGTTACATCAATTGCAGGAAATTTTGTTATTTTATAACCTATTTGTATTAGTTGTTCTCAACTCTATTCTTTAAAATAAAGTAATTGTAATTATCGATTTTTAAAAATTTGGAAGAGACCCCAAACGTGAATTGAAATAGGTTTTTTTTTTTTATCTCGAGAGAGATACCAAATATACCTTCTAGAATAATCAAGTTTTTTGGTTTTGAAGACTTTTAAAAAGGCGAACACGGCCGTTTGCTGCCTTTTTTCCTTTTCCTTCTCTCGCGGAATTTTAAGGTAAAACTTTTGCAGTTAATTTCTTTCATTTCTGATAATGACTTTTATTGCCTTGCATTAAATTGAAAAGGGAAAGTATTTTCTTTATTTTTCTTACTTTATATATATAAATTTGCTAAAATGTGTCTCATTACGCTTTAAATATAAATTACCTTTATCTTTCATTTATTACAGTTTATTACAGAAAAACTTCCTTTTTCTTGATTGAGAATATTAAACGAAAAGTTCCATTTTATTAGTATTATTTTATACATTATTTAATTTTTCATTTACCAAATTTCTTTCGTTTATTTATTCTTCTTATTTAGTGAAAAAACTTCATTTTTTCTTTTAGAAAAATAAACGTAAATTTCCATTTTATTAGTATTATTACATACATTAGTTAATTTTTCATTTACCGGATGTCTAATTTTATAATTGATATTAGACATAAAATTTCCATCTTATTAATATTAGGTATGTACACTATTTAATTTTTTTGACAGACTTAAAATTTAAATTTTTCTTCTGTATTGGTGACATTAAAGTTACAGATTTCAGTTCATTCTTATAATTACCAAATAAATTATTTAACTTTTCATTTACAGATTTAATTTTTTTTATTTTTAATATTAAAGATTTATATTTCCTTTTTTTATTAACACTTTGTCTTTGTATATGCGGAGTGGACCTCACCAGCAAATTTGAGCATTGTTTGGATTAGTTTTTTTTTTCGATTTCTTTTTATGTTTTTTTTTTCTTTCCTTTTACAGTTTACAAGGTTACAGAAAGTCGTAACAAAACGAATGGTTTTGCTTTTATAAAAACGTTAGCGTTCATTTACCAATTATTTTCATTGGTAAACATCTGCAAAATTTTTATTCTTCATTTTTCATTTTTTTTTAATTCAATTTAATTAATTCTGATTTAGTTTCGATAATCCAAAGGGAATAACGATCTATTAAAAAAGAGAAGGCGTAGAATTTTCTATCTTTACAAAATACTTAAATTTTTTTTGGGTGTAATATATCAGTAATATTATTCACTTAGTTAATTTTCTTTCTTAATTCTCTTATTATCTGATATAGTACATTAGAAATACTATTTATACTGTTAGTTAAATTTTACATTATTACCTGTAATTTAAAAATTTAACTAACTACAACTTGCATTTATTTTCACTTTCTTTATTAAAATTTACTATTATTCTCGATTGTTCACTTTAGATTAATAATACGGTATGTATTTGTAAAGTTCAATATAATTGCTAATTTTGATTGAATCGCTATTTTATTATAACTTGCTTGCTTACTTCTAACTTAGTTATAGTTATAATAATAATTTTATAATCTATCATTATTTTATAGTTGCTTTATTATTTGCCATTTCTTTTTTGTATTTTTCCATTCTTAGGAAGTCCCAACACCCGAATTCTAATTAAACTATTAAGAGGAATTAGACTTTAACTTTTACTTGTTTTGAAACGTACTACGATTTGTTGTTTGATTTAAGTACGCAGTGGTGGAATATTTTTCTAATTGGGACTTCCTTGTTTGATAATCTATATATCTTGCCTGGCAGAATACCCTCGTTTTCTCTCCATTACAGACTACCTCACCGACTAGCGCCATCTCCTTCACCCCAGCGACGTCGCTACAACAGAGAAAAACTCTTCTTCTGAACGATAATTTGATCCTTATCCTAGCAGCACTACCGATCCCTAAAAGACTAGTGGGAGTTTGTAGCACCCTTCAGAGAGAAAAGCGAGATCACCAACACAGAGACCACAGCAAGGCAAGTCCAATTAGATCGATACGTTGGAAATATAAATACTAACTCGTACATACGAAATATACAGCATAAATATTTGTTATTTTTTTTTTTTGTTAAATAAAATTGTTAAATTTTATTGATTTTTTTTTATTACAAAGGTATGCCTTATTTCCTTGGAGATTAATAAAACAATACACTACTAACAGATGGCGCCCAACTTTTCTTTTCTTTAAATATCTTTTTAATATTTTTTCTTTTTTATTTATTCAATTAAATCAAATAGCGGTAATTTGACATCCGTGATCCTTCTGTTACTAGTGGCATTAAAGAGTGGTTCAGAACCAAATTCCGCTGAGCTAGCAAACAAAAATAATTGGGCCGCAACTTTTTCTCTCTCGAGAGTCAGAGTTACGTATCAATTTATAAAAAGTATATCAACCTTCGTCCACTAGAAATGAATCACATTAATTCAAGATTTTTCGTCAACTATCAGAATGGTAAATGTACCAAACAGTTTGTGGGTATTAACAAGTTCAGCAAGTTCCCAATGCAAGTATCCCAGTACCTAAATTTGTCAGCTCCGTAAGAGTACACTGGCCAATATTTCCGAAGAAGTTCGGCAACCCTATTAGTCGATGCAGGCGGTGACTTAGTTCTGTTAAAGAAGCACGTTGGTCGGAAATCTTGCAGCCTAGGAGAAGTATATGTTGATTAATCTTTTCTCGGAAAATCACAAGTACAATTCAAAATCCTACAATCTCTACAAACTTCGAGTTCCGCTAAATCATTTCCTAACCCATCTACATCTAACAATTCGTTAATAAATACCAGAACAGAAGATATATCGTCATCTACCGCAATAAAGGAAAAATTTATTTCTGACAGCCCAGTCATTTTAAATAACTGTTCTAATATAACTATTAATCAATATATGTGAAACAAAAATAAATTTTAAAATACATAATACATTTGTTTTTCAAAGTTTATAAATTAATAATAAAATAAAATTATTGTTGCAGTCTTAGAATTCATTTTTAGGATTTTATAAAGAAAAAGTTCAATTATAATATAAAGGTAGATGCCAAAACAAACATTGTAAAACTTCTTGTACATCCTATCTAGTAAGCCATGTTTATAGAAAAAGTATAGTGTTTTACTCGTCGAAAAGCATTTTCTGCAACATGAGCATACTTTCGTCACTCGTTAAACAATATAATATTTTTTAGTCGTGGGTTTTAAATTTTAAAGCCCTACTTTTCATATCAAAGTCCTCTTAACAATTTTTCTTCTCCAAGTTTAATTTGAGTGGACTAATGGTATCAGGTATATGATTGATGGTTTTTATCTTAACAGCATTAAAATGGATGCAGTAGCGGGTAAAACTAATTCACAACGAAAGCGGAAAATTCTTTCAAACGATGAAAAACAGATGGTCTGTAGCGTATATGAAGATTTAATAAATACATTTAAGACAATGCAGGCCTTGGACCGCTGTTAATTTTTAACGAGAGTATCCGTGGCGACAATTAAACGCATTGTACGTAAAAAGAAGGTGACTGGGACTGTGCAAGCTCCAAAAGTAAATTATCGTGTTTAAAAAAAAAAATTTGACAAGTACCAGAAAAATATGGTACGCATAACTATTCATTCTTTTTTTTTAAACAAATCGCCAACCATGGAATCCGTTAGAAGGAAATTATTGGAGAATGATCTCGTTCTACAAATGAGTCGAGAGACATTAAGAAAAATGGTACACAAGCTAAAGTTTCGATATGCAAGACGATCTCGTAACTATAAAGACTAGAGATGAGGAGGCGAATCGGCATACTCGAAATATGGTATCAAAAAACGAACGCTAATAGAGCTGTTTTAATTCGTTCTGTTTCTGTCCATTTAATTATACCAAACAAGTACGTTAGTATGGATATAGCGCTTAGTGAAGAGATTAGGTACGATTCTTAAGAGAAAACCCGCATATTTCTGTTGTTCTTAGTTCCAGTTTTTCTTTGAGTTTATTTTTTATTTCGGTGGGCTTGGTTAGTCTAGCTTATTGAAATCCAAGATATTTGTATGTGTCTCCTTCTTCCATAATTTCGTCCTAGCCGTCACGCATCCACGACGTGACCCGAAAGACCACGGCTTAACTATTGGGAGAACGTGGATGTTTGAAAGATATCCTCCTTGAAATAAAAATCGACCTATTTCAAGCAATTTTTTGATATTTTCTTCTGTTTAGGAGATATTACCCATTATATTTTTAAATTGAAATATGCTGAGGTTGAAATTTTGTTTTATTATGATGTTTCATCGATTGGCCATTTTATGAACACAAAAACAATAGTATGTTTATGGTTAATCTTTTTGAAAAGACTCGTTTTTGAAATATTTACTTTCATGGAACGATTTTGGAATAGTTGAAATTCAAAGGAGCAAGTAAAAAAGTAATAAAAGCACCTGAAAATATTTAATCAATAAGAATGTTGTTTTTCAGATTTGTGAAATATTTGAAAAATATTCGATAACGAACACAAATAAGCGGATAACAAATAAAGTTTAACCAGTAGGTAGGTATACCTGCATTTTTTAAATATATCTTGAGCAAAAAAATCAGTTCTGATTCATATCTACAGGTATGATGCCTATAATCATTTGTAATTTAAAGATAATTAAAATTTGAAAAAAAGAATTATCAAATTATAAAAAAAGTATACCTATAGTATATTATATCATCCCTCTTATCACGTATGGGGGTAAAAACAGAATAATGTAATATTTAGTTAGGCCGGCTGTAGGCTTTTCTTTTGTGCACGTTTCATCTCATGAAGTATGTAGGTACCATTTGGGAAGGCGAGACCGAGACCGACTTCAAGCGACGGCTAGCAAACAGCAAATCCGAAAACGGTCTCTTCACGTCTGAACACATGTAATTATATGAAACACATTTGGAAAGGCGCGACAGACGACAGCAGTTTTAGCACGGTAGGAATTAACGCTTGTTGCCTATCCCTTGAAGTCGCTGTCCGTCTCGCCTTCCCAAATGGTACTTTGTAACTGTATCTGTGGAAGAAGTAAGGCTTACTATACTATTTCTACAACTAAATACGTCAATTTGTTTGTGGAATTATGAACACGACCTGTTTGAAACTTATAAAGGAGCTCCCTCAAATAAACCCTCGATATAGGGCAATCCGGGTACCTCCCATTATAATTTTTTTCTGTGAGCACTTACCTCTGACCAACATATCTACCGCAAATCATTTCTGTTATTACATAGGTCGCCTCCGTGGAAATAGTTCTTTATCGATCCCATTATAGTCCTGAGTACCATTTTTCTGTGTGCTCAGACCTCTGACCGGCGTCTCTATATTTTTGTACTTTAAGTTCATCTGTCGTTACTTCCGCACCATACAGTACTAATGGACATAGTACCTAGTCCTTGAGTCCTTATCAAAACAGCCTAAAAAAATTCGACGATATGTTTGTGACATCTTGTTAAAATTAAATACGTCTCGTGCTCCCTCTATCTACTCTAGCTTTAAGGTATGTAGGTACCTCCACTTCATTGATTAGGATAACAAAGAATCCATATAGTCCTCCATAGATCCGGTGTTCGTTAAAGATTTCTACCTCCGGTTGAAACAACAGAGGGTTCGGTAAAATAATATATGAGTATATATGTAATAAACGCAAAAGACCTTTAGCAAGGCTTTAATGAACGAAATGACTGACAATTAAATAAAATTCATAAACATCAAACATCATCAAATAATAAGACATTAAGTAAGAAGTGTACTAAGTGATACCAAAGTATAGTGTGCTCACCCAGTGTTAGTTGGTAATTTTAAATCTCGTAGAAATAATCCAACGTCAAATAACTTTCAAAGAACACACCCACATAATAACAATGCAGCAAGGCTACTATAATTTTTTATAAAATGTCCAACAAAGGGCGTCTAGCTTATCTTGAATAACCAATATAAAGCGTCTAGTATTAAATTAAATACCAAAATATCACATGCGTGTCATTTCGGTGATAGAACTTTGCTGAGAAGTCAGTATGTCACTGAAAGTTGACAAAAAAGGCTTGGATTGGTCGCAATTCGCAAAAAAACGTAATCTCGGAATATGCTGTACGAACCTAAAAATTAATGTAATTGATTTATCAAATATTTAAGAAAAATTAAAGTCGGAACTATGTGTTCAAGATCTCCAAGTGATATTGCTGTCAATACTGAAATGAAAGAGGAATTATTGGAAACAACGTTTCCAAATTCTTGTACTTGTTTTCCTACAGGTAATTATTGTTAAAACATAAGAAATACTTTCATTCTTCATATTTATTTCCAGAAAGAAGTATTTGCTATGTGGAAGGAACTCAATTAGATAAAAATATGTCTGTAAATATTCCTGAACTTACAGAAAATGTATGGTAAGTTTACATACGATTAAATACGATTGTTATAATTAAAATACCGAAAAACTGAACCATCTAAGAACAGAATGATTAATATTATGTTAATGTTTTTTCTTTTTCAATTCACAATTATTATTCTTGTTTTAGGTTCGAAAGTAAGCCACCGGCATTGTTTTCTAAACCGATTTCGCCTCTAGTAACTTCTAGACAAATCTATATAACAAGAGTTTTGTTGAACGGGAAATTAAAAGGCGCCGAACTAAATAAAGAACCCGAAGAAATTAGTAGTAGTAAGGAACAACAAGCTACTGTCAGTATGGATAAAAAGAAATCTGCAATGAAATTTCTTGGAGACAAAAAATTAAACGTTGATAATAATTAGTAATTAAAAAAATATCCGTATTTTGTTTATTTTTTATTAAGACTATTTCAAATAATTTTAAAGGAAAACTCATTTTTAATCTATAGAGGACACCTATCTATCATATTTAAACTATCATACACCTTCTCAAAGTCACTCTAATCAATACAATAATTTATGGCGCGTATTGGGAAATGTAATTTTATGGAAAATTAAGCAATATTACTGTTTTGATATTAGCGCCATCTAGCTGGATGTAAACTGTTACGTATTATTAAGTGTGTCAATTTATTTCAAAGCTAATTTTATTAGTTATATATGGTTTAAATATTTTTATCCACGACCACTTAATAATAAATCAATATTCTACCTCCTAACTAAGAGCATATGGTACCCATATATCACTAGAGTGAATTATGATAATTCACGCTTTTGTAATTCTGGCACCTTCCGGTAGGTGACTCAATGTCTAACCAGATTTTTGAAAATATTCAAAATTCATCTAATAATTTTGATTTTAAATCCATGCCTTCAATAAAATTCGAAGTAACTATTAATGTATATAAGTAATGAGGTGGGATTTACATACCAAGCAACTTATTAAAAAAATAAGAGGATTATTGCCCAAATTCAGGTATTTAAAAGATTTTTTAAATGTTCATGCTCTAAAAACAATGTATTTCTCTTTGGTACAGTCGTTATTAGTCTATGGTATTATAGGTTGGGGAGGAATACACGATAACTGAATGATGTTCATGTGGTGCAAAAATGGATTTTGCGTATTAGCTATAACAAAGATATTCAATATTCTAGTAACTCCTTGTACAAGGAATTAAAAGTTTTTGATTTAAGACAATTATATTTTTTTTTAAATTCTTCAATTTATAAAAACAAAAAAAATTGTTTTGACATCACATGAACATCAGTATAATACACGACGAGTAGAATCTGTTTATTTTCCTCGTAGTGAAAAATCTATAGGACAACGTACATGCAATTATCTTGCACCAAGAATGTATATTTTAGTCCCAGAAGAGATACGAAATATACCGTCTTATAATGTATTCAAAAAACATCTAAGAAACTGGATTCTTCAAGAAGACCGAGAAGAATTTACTAATGTTATAAATAATTACCTATCGTAAACTATTATATTCATTATCCATACTTTTAATAACTGCACTGATTTTCCGATTAATTTCTTTAATTTCCTAAAATTTGTAATTTACTCACCCAATAATAGGACTTGTTCTTCTGATTACGACCTATTTCTCGATTATGTCCTCTATCTCGATTATGTCCTCTATCTCGATTATATCCTCTATCTCGATTACGACCTTTCTCTTGAGTGTAACTAATTCCCGATTTTGACCCTTTTCCAAGTATTACATTATATAAATAATTTAATTTAATTTTTAACATTTTGTCTAAGATACAAAGAAACTGATCCATTGGGCTTATTCATTATTTATTAGGTCATATTATTATAGAATTAATTTTTGATTAAATTTTTAGTAATACCTACCACGTACAAGCTGTCCATAACAGCTTCTGTGTAGTTCATGTTTATTTTGCTTATCTTTAAATGACATTTTTTATACATTGTATTTGTTTTATGTGAATAAACAACATTATTATTATTATTATTATTATTATTATTATAATGATAAATACCTAGTTATGTATGCTGTTATCTTCCCATACAGCACACCAAATCCTTTGGATATCTACTGGACATCCCAATATCCACTGAATGTTCAGTCCATGGTGGATATCTATTTTATATCCATGAGATGTAATTTATAGATATGCAAATGTCCATAAATAATAGTAATTATATAACAAATTATTAAAAAATTACGCCATTATGGCTAATAGTACCCTTTAGATATTTAAAATTAATTTTTTTTAAGGTGTGTTCAATATCCCGCATGGATATCCACTAATCTATCAAAGTCTAGGAGCCAACGCATATCATGGAGGATATCCACTAGATGTAATTTATGGATATAATATGTACCTAAATATGGGAAAATATGTGAATTTATTTAATAATTATTAAATTACTTAAATATTACGTCATGTTATAACTAAGAAAGTATTTAGGTATGGTTTGTAGAAATTTAAAATTAGTAAGTTGTATACAATATTCCACAGATATCTGCTAGATAAATAATATTGGCAATAAACGCGAGCGCAAGCGCGGATATTTTCTGCCCTCACAGGTGCCATCGGCCATTTTATAGTTTGTTTTCGTTTTGTTTGTGTCGTGTGCATGGTTTTCGTTTGATAATTTTTGATTAAAATGAGGTAAGCTTTAAAACCTAAATTAATTAGTGTAAAAGGTTCATAGACTTTAGTTAAATAAGACAATGGTTAAATTCACGTTATTAAGATTGTTAAGTAGGTTGTATGCAGTACGTTAAAATCCGTGTCCTTTTTAGGTAATTCACAACTAGAAATTCATGTCGTTTTTACGATACCCTATTTTATTAAAATTAAGATAGATGTTATTTTACCTACCTTCATATACCTACTTATTTCGTGTGATTATTATTGTTTAGGTTTGGTTTTTATTGTTTAATGATTTTTATAATTAATTAGAAAGAGGTATTTTTTCACTTGTTAAGGTAATCTTATTATTACATCTGCCTTTTGTATTCAATAGCATGCATGAATAATTTAACAAGTAAGGTTAGGTTATGTTTAGCTGGACGAACAGTTTAGATAAATAAGTATAATATATACACAGAACCAGCCCTTTTAAATTATTAGTTAGTGTTATATATTGTATAAGTGACACTCTGCACAAAAGGCTTTTTTCAGACTTCATTTTCGTTTTGGGTATAGCTTGATTTAAAATATAGTTTCACTTTTTGAGGAATTCTACAACAGAGCGTCTTTTTTTTTTCAGGAAGAAAATTCCAGTTGAAATTTAAATGTTGGATAGTTAAGACAAATTCTTTGTATTAAATAAATTAGAATTGTGAGTTGTAATAGTGCCTAAATATTATATAAATTAATTAGTACGTTATAAATAAATTATAAATAAAATGTTTTAAATAAATAAACTGTAAATAAATTAAACAAATGTTACAATATGGAACTACCCCTGAGGTGTCTGCTATCTAACAAAAAAAGAATCATCGGACAACGTGGTAAAGAATTATCGCCGAAAATCCATAAAAAATTAAGAGTATATATGGGATCACTCCTGAGGTACCCTCTCTCTAACAAAAAAATAATCCAAGAAAACTGACAACGTAGTAAAGAATTATCGCCGAACATACATAAAAAAATATTCCGACGAATTGAGAACCTTCTCCTTTTTTGAAGTTGATTAAAAATACCAGGCAACGTCGTAGTATAGCACAAGTAAAAGTTGGAAAGGCTTTTGCCAGTTCTCCCACTTTATACACATAAATTGACAGGTTTTCGGCGGATATAACCGAAGTGGACGCGATACATTATTGTATAGATGTTAATAAAAGGTATTGAAATTTTGTAAAATTATGTTTTTAATATTATAATACATGTTTAATAATTATTTATAGTCCATAAATACATGCGATTGTCCGGTTCCGCCGGTAAAAATTTAAAATTACTTATTCTATGAAACGACTGGCAGGTAAACATTACTGTGAAATTCTCGACGCCGTCCGACGTGGTTTGACGTTTACTCCCTCTCTACCTACCAAAAGCATAGCCCTCAGAAGGGCTATGACCAAAAGCCAAAAGTAAGTGATCTGTGAAAGCATTTCCAACTTCTACTTCTGCTATAGATGGATGTTCCGTCAATATGACACCCCAGGAATTCTTCGGCAGAATCATCGAGAGATACGGGCGAAAACGGTTCTATTATAATTATTAGTAGTACCTCCCCTCTTTCCAAATAAAATATTAACCGGAAAGTTCAGATAATTATTGGATGGTTTATCCTAAATCTAAACATTTGTGTAACAAACCGCCAGAACCTCCACATTTTAGGTCGACACATTAACTCAGGTATTTTCTTTCAGAGAAAATTTATAGAGGGTCGTTTTTCTTTTCTGTGGTATATTTCTGTTATTTATGATTGCAAAAGAAAACCTGATCAAACTAGATAATGGAGTATTTATTTTTGTTTTAAAAAGCTAACCAATGGTACAATGAAAAAAAAAAAGTTTACTAAATGCAGTTTTTTTTTACTAGTAATTTTATTTCTTTGTTCCACCATTTTGTGGTTTATTATTAAAATTTTCATTAAAATAATTTCTTTAAAATGTTTTTTAGTATTTTGCTTTCTTTTTTGTGTTTTTCAGTTTACTTGGCCAAGTTTTTATTGTTTTTGTATGACATTCTGCTATTACTAATCTATAGTCTGTCCCTTAGTGTGTCCCTATATCAGCCTCCTTCCTTATCAACTTCATTTATTATATTTGAAAAAGTTTGTGACTATATAAGCTACTAAGCTTTTTGCGATTGGGATCTTTATCTAGCCTTGCGTTCCAATCCCCAATTAATTATTGTATTCAGAAAGGGACGGTCCTTTGAATGGTCAAAAGTATACTTCACTGGACGTCCATTGCATATCGGAAGTCCAGAAAAAACTCATATTTGGACGTCCAGACATCCAAAACTGTACATCGAATAGACGTCCAATGGACCCATTTGTACTTAGGTAATTTCATATGAACACAATGGATTTCGTCATGCTGGAGAGGAATCGCTACTCATTATATTAAGAGAACGATTTTGGATATTGAATGGTAGAAAACTGTACGATCAGTGTTATTCTTATTCAAATGTGTTTCACCATGAAAGACTTGGTTCGTGAAGATCTTGTTATACATTCTAACTGAAGAAAAAATGTTTAATATGCCTTTTTACTTGCTCCATATACAGGGAACTGGTTTTATCAACATTCACAGATGCATTTCTTCAGGCATTTCGTAGATTCGTAGCAAGAAGAGGTCGCCCTAGTGTGGTCTATAGTGATAATGCTACAAATTTTGTAGGTGCAGAAAATGCATTAAATAATTTGAACTGGGATAATATATACATAGTTCAACGGCACAAAGCATAGAATTGAGGCACATACCGCGAAATGGCCCGTGGTAGGGTGACTGGTGGGAAATACTTATTAAGTTAGTCAAAGACCTATTAAGAAAGGTTTTGAGAAGAGTATCGTCGTTGACTTTACACCGTTCTTTGCGACTGCGAGGCCGTTATCAATTAGAGACCCTTGACTAATCTTGGAGAAGATAATCATGATCTTGTTGCCCTTGTCCCAGCAATATTTTTCCAAGATACTAAAGAAGTTGGTATCCCATATATAGATGTTACAGAATGTGTCGTTATAAGGAAACTATGGGTGAGATTACAGAACGTCTGCAACTTTGCAGATCTGTAAATATGGCGGCAACTTTGAAAATCTGCAAATATGACTGACTTACACATGCAAGTATCAAGTTTTCGTATTCCAAATTTGGGTTTAGTGTTGTTGGGGGTAATAAACCACAATAAATATTGCGAATTTGCAGATATTTTTTGGAATACTTGCATTTGAAAGTCCGCCATATTTGCAAAGTTGCAGACGTTCTGTATCTCACCCTATATCGATACAGAATAAAAATTAAAGATTTACTTCCTAGATTTTTAAAATGAGTACCTATACTTTGGAAAATTAGCGTTGTTCAATTGCATGAAATCAGAATATTATGAAATAGATGTTGGAAATGTAGTTCTGGTTGGAAATCAGCATCAAAAGCGTCTGGATTGGCCATTAGTTTATGTTGAAGGGACGATATCTGGACGAGATGGAAAAATCAAACTGGTTAGACTAAAAATTGCAAATGTGCATTTGATTAGACCGTATCAAAGGATTCACCCTCTGGAAGTTAGATCTAAAGAAAAATAATCATTACTTTCTAATGAAACATTACAGAGTGGTGCATTTCAAGATAGAAATTTACCTCCAGAAACAAACCAGAAAGCCAACCTAGATAGCGGGAGAAAATAAAGGCACCCCAAATATTAGCGTTTTAATTTAGTTTTCAGTCGATTCGCTTTCTCAGTAAATCAAGATGGGAGTATAAAGAAAATTACTTTTTTTAAATAATTGTCAGTTCCCTTTGTAAAGATGTCAGTGTGATTTTTGATATTAGTCAAAAAATAAGTCTTGTCAATTTGAATCTAATTTTCTTTGGGTTGTTGTTTGATTTGGGGGCCTGTATAAAGAAATTATCTGATCACTGTTTAGGCGAGAGGAGAATTTTATCATCTGCGACACAGACTTGATGAGTTTTTCTGTTTTCCTTTGACATTCAAAAATTTTATAGTTGAAGTATCAATATCAATGGAAACGTTGGCAACCAGGTCGCCAACGAGATGCACTTAATCTTTTGTCCTTTTGCCACATAATAGAAAGCTATTTGAAGCAATGCATGTATGAATAAGATATTATGTAGTGCATGTAAGTCACTACACGTGACCTGTTGTCATTTTTTTAATGATTGCCATTTTTGTCCATATAATGTTCAAATGTCCTCCACTCCTAATAACATAAGGTAATATTTTTACAATACAATAAGATTACTTTTAACTTATTTCCACCAAAGGTACTATTAATTGAGAAAACAATTCGATAAAATCACTTTTATTTATACATACATAAATAAAAAGTTATAAACTATTTTATTAACAAAACAATAAAACAAAGATAGTACAATAATCATAATTTTAAACAAAAAATTATAAATATTCAAAAACAATAAATTGCTGCTATTTTGAAAACCTATACAAAGCAATTACTCTTTTGTCAAGAAATAAAGGTGGGTACCTTAGATAATTAAACTAAGGACAACTGGTGCTATCCTCTCATTTGAATATGATGCCTTCGTAAAACTTGGAACACAGTATCTTTTAGAGTTTGAGGTTTACAGCATTCTTCCAACCAACTAAAAACGCCAGCTGATAATTCAGAGAAATTATTTACAGAGACACCGCTAAATGTGGAAAACAGTTCATCCATTATGGCTTGTAACTAAAAAACAAATTATTTACAATATGACAGTCTCAATAAATATGTGTATATTTTTTATTTAATTGCCAAATGAAGATGTTCATACCACTGAAAATTTTACTTCATCAGAAATTCGAGTCTCTGTATGACCTGGCTGAGATTGTTGTGCCTTGACAATTTGTTCATAGTTGGTCTGCATAATTCTAAGAGCCACCACCTCTTTTCTTAGGGCATTACGTTCTTCTTCCTGCTTCTTTTTTTGCATTTGTAAGTACTGTATGTAATCAATTGATTTTTGAAGAACAGTTGCTTTACTTAGTTTATAGCCTAAAAAGTGTTTTAATTTAACAATAAACTTGCCATGGGCCATAAATGTAAGCTGAGGATGTCTTAATTCAGTTAAGATCAAAGCAATTTAATACTAAATAATTTACCTGATACATCTGGTTGTTGGCAGGTGGGAACCAGTTCTTGCAATGTGTCATAACCTTTTTTTATTGCATCTCTTCTTTTTTGTTCTGCTTGTGTGTGGGCTTCTCTTCGTCTCTCTTTGTAACTCATGGGTGATGATTTGCTGTCGATGTCTTCCTCGTCTTCTAAAAATATATAGATTTTAGATATTGTGGAAAAATTCAATATTTTTTAGACCAAAGAACTATGAAAATTACTGGCTAATATATTTTCCCTATGGAAATGCTTATACCTCAACATTATCACGTCTTGCAATCAAAACTAAGTTACCTAACCTAAATGGCCTTGAGCCATCTTCATCAAATTTATTATAAATCCTTAGGTACTACATACATTTGACAACACAGTATTTATAAAAACGCACTGTCTAAATAAAAACACCTACCCCTATTATTTATTATTTTTCCAGAAATTTGGAGAATGAAAACCTTAGAACGTGAACTGTAAACTTTTACAATATTTGGAGAGTTCATTCTTTATCGATCATCTAATATTGTTTGGTTTCAGATACCAAAAATTGAAATCAATAATAATTAAAGCAACAGCACAAACTAGAATTAATAAAATACAACAAAAACATACCAAACATTAAAAATTAGACTTTACGATTTTATTATTATCTGTAAATAACTGTAAGTGAATCTTTTAGATGTTTGAAAACTATAGTAAACCTTTGTTCTCTTTGCATAACTAATACTTTCTAATTTCCGTTTATAAATAAGGAATAGATAACATGATAAATATTACCTGAATTACCCATGGTGAGGTTGTTTGGATATTTTATAGAATCCAGGGGCATTTGGATATTGAAAACGAAATAAATATTCTACTAATTATATATAAAACAAAATATTTTCTAAAAATAATAAGAGAACGTAACCATTTTCTAATCTTGATAAACCTTAATATAAAAAAAAGCAGATAATTTGATATTTCACTGACAAAAACAAAAAACATTCATTTCATTGAAAGATGTCATGTCATGTGATTTTGACTTGAATTGATGACATTTTTGGGGGAAGGAGTTTCACTGGACAGTGGCGTTCCTTCTTCGCCCTCTTTGCTAACGAATTATAAATATGAACTTAGTGCTCTTTGCCCATGCTACTGAACGTGTTGATATTTTTTACTTTTGATACAAAAAATTAAATATAGTATCTGTTATGCTTTTTATATTTGCATTGTCTCTTGGAGTTTTTAGCGCACTCTTCCCCACAGAACAGCCTTCGCCCATGCCCTAGCTTATGCCATGTCTATGGGAATGAAATTATTTCTTCTTCTCTTTTCTACAGGCTCTTGTTGAGTTTGCATTCAAAGACTTTACGGGGATGGGTTTTTTGAACTTTGTTTTTTAAAAAACCGTTTCAGATTCAAAATTAAACAAAAAGAAGACGAAACTGTCAACAGTTGAAAACCAAATAAAATTTTTGTTTATATACTTTAAATAAAAATACAAAATCACGAAAAAGTGAATTATATGCATCTGGAATGAATGAACAGTTAATTGATAAAACATTTAAATAGCACAATGAGCATGACTTCCTTTGGTAAAAGGATCGAGGTTAGTTTGTTTATATACTACATACAATCTTTTTAAATAGTTTACACATTTGTATTTATAGGACTATGAAGTTCATAGTTTGCTAGGAAAAGGTGGTTTTGCATCCGTCTATCGTGCTAGATGTTTAAAAAGTGGCACAGAAGTAGCTATTAAAATGGTAAGTGAACGTTTAGTGACGTCTCCTATTAACAGTACCTAATAGCTTTATCCTATTTACACATTTTACAAATAAACTTATTATTAATTTATAAGCGGGTAATACTAAAGTAATATAAATTAACTCAAAATACAAATGAAATGTTTATGTTGGCTCCCAGTAAATTTTCAGGGGGACATTCTTCTACAATGTGTCAGATTGTTTGGCTGTCAGCACCACTATCAACATTATGACTTTATAGAGGAAATCTTAATGCAAACTATCCACCCTAAATAAGTGAGGCTTTTATGAGACAAGTATTAGAAAATAAAAATTTTAAAAAATCGACTTCAAAAATGTGCAGATGCCATCACCACATCTTAACCAAATTTATATGGGACCACTCCTGAGGTGCCCCCTTACTAACAAAAAAGTATTATAATAATCGGACAAGGTGGTAAAGCATTATCACTAAACATACATAAAAAATGAAGAGTTTGTGGATTTTCTCATGTACCCAATTATTAGATTTTGACCAAATTTATATGGGACCACCCCTGAAGTATCCCCTTTCTAACAAAAAAAGAATCATTGAAATCGGACATGGTGTTAAAGAATTATCGCTGAACATACATAAAAAAAAATATCGTGTCCATCCCAATGGTAAAATGAATCATTTGTAAGTTTGGATAATTTCAAATTGGCAGTAGAAATGGTTTAATTCTCGAACAATTTATTAGAATTTTTGTCATATCAAATTATTTTATTAGATGTTGAAACTGACTTCCATTGGTTTCTATACAAATGATGTTTGACCTATTTTTGTATGTTTTCATATAGGCCTTACCTTTAAAATAATTGGGGATGGATAGTTTTTGAAATTCCCTGTAGTGTAGGGTTGCCATAATAGTCTAAGTACTGACTGGAACCTGATGAAAAAATTAAAATATATCATTTGCCAACTTAATTTTATAAATTCAATTTTCAATACAAATCAATTTCAATAATCAAACATGAAAGTAAACAGTAAATGCAGAGGCATATTAGTCCCTCATCTGACTGCATATCGTGTTTTTTGCTTGCCATTTTTTGTAGTTGGGTACAGGGGAGGGAGTGAACAACATTTCCAGTGGTGGCAGCTGTCGTGTTGCCAGATTTACGAAAGGGAAAAGCATGGCAACAATGATGACAGGAAATCAGTTGAAAAAACAGGTATTTTTTTGGGAGATCTAAAAAAAAGATCTTTCGCTTATATTTTTATAAAACAGGTCCTTTAAAAGTCATAAATTTATTAATTATAGGTTTGGATTTAGAAAGCGTGGCATTTAAGTAAAAATCGTGGCATTTAGGTAACAAGCGTGGCATTTAGGTAACAAGCGTGGCATTCAGGTAACAAGCGTGGAATTTGGGTACTTTGGAGTGTCACGTGACAGCAATTTCCATTCTATTCCATTTGCAATCATGGATCCAGTCTGACTGGAAAGTACACAGAATGGTTTTATCAGCTGTTGAAGCAAACCTAATAAAACCTCAATGTTCCCAATATTTTTATTCAACGGGACATTTAGTAGATCAACTGGGACATAATGAGTGAAAGCATATTGTTTACATATTATATTTAATAGTAATGGCAATTGTTTAAATACATTTTCCTAAATAATTATGTTTTTTGAGTATTCATTTGAATTATCTTAATTTTATAGATAGATAAGAAGCTTATGCAAGCAACAGGAATGGTAAATCGAGTAAAGCAAGAAGTATCAATCCATTCCAGATTAAAGCACCCATCAATTTTGGAATTATATGAATGTTTTGAAGACATTAATTATGTATATTTAGTTTTAGAACTTTGTCACAATGGGGAACTGCAAAAATGTTTAAAAGAAAAGGTAAACCCTTCACTTGTTCTCTATAAAAAAAAAATATTTTGAATAAAAATTTTTAGCCTCTCTCAGAAAATGAAGTTAGCACTATTATAGGACAAGTAGCCGAAGGGATAAAATATCTTCACTCATATAATATTTTACATAGAGACTTGTCCCTATCAAATTTACTGATTACAAGAGACTTTCAGGTGGTAAGCACTCCTAATAAATAAAATAATTGTCAGTTTAAATATGGCATAACTTTTTTTAAGAAAATTGCTGATTTTGGTTTAGCAACGCAACTAACCAAACCTGATGAAAAACACATGACCATGTGCGGGACTCCTAATTTTATTTCACCAGAAGTAGCATCTAGAGGGTCTCATGGTCTTGAAGCTGATGTTTGGGGCCTAGGATGTCTCTTATACACTCTGTTAGTTGGATCTCCGCCATTTGATACTCCAGCTATAAAAAGTACTCTAACCAAAGTTGTAATGTCAAATTATACTTTGCCAAGCCATTTGTCACCAGAAGCTAAAGACCTCATAAATTCTTTACTACAGAAAAACCCCAAGGATCGTATGAAATTGGAGCAAATTTTGGAACACCCCTTCATTAGAAGAGGCAGGGTAAGTTATATTTTTGATTACCTTTGGCACCATTAAAGTGTATGGTACCAAATATCAATTTCAAAGACTAACTTTATAAGATATTACATTTGTTTACTTTCAATATGAACAATATTCTCGAGTATGTTTTAAAGCTATTTTTAATACAGCAGCAGTAATTAAATATAAATATATTGCTAGCAGATAAAATAATAAAATTTACATAGAACATTTTTCCAACTTTTAGATCATATCATCACATTTAACTCATGACAGTGGCATCCATACCATGTCTAGTAAAAGAGACAGCACTTTTGGAGATAGTACATCACTTCCATATTTCCAAAATTGCAATTCCAATCCTCATTTAAGAAAAACAAACAGCGACTGTCTACCTTTACAAAACATCTATGGAAAATCTCCTCAAATCTGTCAAGACATGGAACATCTAAGAATTCACAGTTACGATGCTCTACCGACTTTTAGATCTAAAGAACAACCTTTGAAATGTTGTTCACAGATTTCTAATTGTTGCCATGAGGAGATGAAAAGATCTTGTTGTAGTGGGATTGAATCTAGAATAAGAAGTAATCAGGAGTGTCAAGTACTGGTTGATCCAGGAGGTATTTTTTTATATTTATGTCTTCAGAATTAAGTATTTATAATGATGGTATCTCAAATTTTTAGGGTGCAATTATAATCAACCTGTATGCACTACTCCTTTACACTCTCACCATTCCGACCCTCCTTATAATGAAAATACTGGCAATTATATATGCACTAAACCATCAGTAGGTTATGCTCATGTATCTAAAGAATCACCTGAAAATTTTCACAAACAAAGAGAATTCAGCCCAGTAAAATTCGAAAGAGCCAAAAAATCATTAATTCCATTGTGTTCAGAACGCTTATTACCTACTAGACATCAAACTAAAAACGCTATACTCAGTATATTAAAAGATGGCGAAGTCTGTATTGAGTTTATTAAAAAACGGGGAAGCCCAAAGAGAGACTACGTTTGTGAGGTCATGAGGATATCTACAGATGGTATGAGAATAGTTTTGTACGAAATTGAAGGGGGTAAAGGAGTTCCACTAGGGGATGAACCAGCATCTATGCCTTCTCAAGGTGCAGATAAAATTTATGGTTTAGAAAATTTACCAGAGAAGCATTGGAAAAAATATACTTATGCATTAAAATTCATAGAATTGGTCAGAGCCAAGACACCAAAAGTGACATACTATACAGATAAAGCAAAGTGTTTTCTCATGGAAAATCTGACTGACTTTGAGGCCTGTTTTTATGATGGTAAGTATTGCAAGTTTTAAATTTAAATTTACAATAAAGTAAGTATTCTTTTTAGGTGGCAAAGTAACTAAGTCGGTTACTGATGGTATCACACTTATTGATGCTTCAGGAAATAAATACAGCTTTATCAGTCAAAACGAATGTACATCACTAAATGGTACTTTGGATTTGATGTGGACTCACAGCCAAGATGCTTTTGATTATTGCATTCTTTTGGAAAGAACTTTGTCTAGTTTACCTAGATCATCTTTTCCAGTCATTGTTGGACGCAGACCATCGTCATGTTCATCAGGGTCTTTAGGAAAAGAAAATCATCAACTACGAGTAATGGTATACCTATATTATCATCAAACTATATTAATAATCGATTGCTAATATTATAAATTATGTTGTGGATTTGATTGGTCAATTTTTTTATCAATTAAGTAAAATAAATTAAAAAATTCCATAAAACAAACAAATAAAAATCAATATTTGTTCTGCACCGTTAAGAATGGCTAGTACAAAAGTGCACTAGCATAGAGAGAGTGCAATTTATGAACTGCAGACATACAGGGTGATATTAGGTTGGTATTTGACCAGTGAGGGTGTAATTTAAACACAGAATAATTCAATGTCACTGCAATTAAAAAATGCTACAATGTAACATGATAAAACTCAAAATAATTTCGATTTTTTTAGATATTTTTTCCGAATTTAGACCAGTCAATTAAAAATTAAAATGTAAAGTGAATTTAAATTATTTAATTTTAACCTCGACTTTAACCTGATTTGATAGTCTTTTGTTACATTTCACAATATTTTAGCCATCATTTGCTGCGTCTTATAATGGCACAAATGCAGGGTCTTCTTTTGGAAACACAACTAACACGAAAGAGAAAAGAGTAACAGTACCTGGAATTGGAACAGCCTTTCAATTATCTAATGGTGAAGTTCAAGTTAGATTTCCAGATGGATCTCAACTGTGGGTGGATGGTAAGTGTATATTTCAAATATATATTTTACTCTGTTTAAGAATTTATGTATATGTCGTAGCTAGATTACAAAACCAGTCGTTTTATAAATTGCCTAGATGTTTTATAAATAGCGGCTAAATTGTCACATTTTCGTTTACCTTTCATTGTTTTACAATCTGACTAGCCGGATTATAAAATGCCAAGGTGTTTTATAAAAAGACTGCCATATTGTCAAATATTTATAATCCTCTGTTTGACATTCCGGCGGGCAAGGGAGTTTCAGTCGTCTTGTAAAACACATGAACAATTTAATTTAGGATGATGACAACCAGAGATAACAAGGGAGATATAACTACTCATTCATAAAATAGAATATCTATGATGCCAACATCAAATTAGTCAATTTGGTGATCAGGAGAGGAAAGACGTGATGTGTGAGGTAAGGGAGGGGATATACTGCAGGACTGAGGGCCGTACACGTTTGTTAGTCGCAGCGGAGTTTAAATAAATTGCATTGGCGTACCCCAGGAACGGGATAAATTAAATTATTTAAAAATATGTTTTTTTAACCCCGTAAAAATTTTTGTATTTTAATATAGATATATTGAGCAGTAGTACAAATATGTTTTCTGCAAAATTCGTTGAGTTTTTAATTCATTAACGATATATAAATTTAGAAGACTTTTAAAGGCATCTTTTTTTACAGATGATAGAAATTTGTAGATATTTCTAATATGCACCAGAGTTTAATCGGGCCGTACAAAAGTTATCTAAATAAAAAAATTGAAGCTAATTAAAAAATATACGATAATAAATAAAATAATACTATTTCTATAAAATTTGCTGTCGCTAATTTATAAAAGTCACTGGTTCTAAATATCCAGGGTTTGTTCTTAGATCAAACAATAATTTTTTTTAGTCCACATGGATATTAGCTTATCTACGTACAGAATACAAAACGAAAAAGTATGCTATTGCATTCATTTAAACGGATATATTTCATATCTATTCTAGGTAGTTCATATTTTGGTCACCCAATACAATTCTTTTTAAAAGGTTAAATAAGTGACAATTGTGTCAAACTAATCGTCAGTATATTCAATTATTGAGATTAAATATACATTAAAATGAGTTATTTTTATGTCGAATAGATAAATAGTAAATATTTTTTTTACATAAAACTAAGAGGCGTCACACTATAAAACTCAAAGAAAATAATAATGTAAATATTCTTTTAAAATCCATGTTCAAAACTATCTGCCTCAATGTGTAAACTGTTGGTATTTCCAATGAATCAATCAATCCCTTATTTATAAATAAACAATTTATATCCTATTTCCTGGAATTGTTTTAATCCTACTTTCTATATCAAAACAAAAATAGAATTCTAAACAGGTAGGTAATCAATATGTATTTATGGACATATGTTAATAATCTTTATAAATACATAGATTATAGTTTTAAGAGAGTATTTCTTTTAAATTAGGTTTTAAGTGTTTATCAAAATAGTTCATGAAAATTCTACCTGAATGCAATAGCTAAAAATTACAAGTAAAATATTTATTCCTATTTTTTTTTATTTATGAAATTGACAGTAATGTACTGAATTATTTCTAAAAAAAAAATTGTACCTATTTAAAATTAAGTGTTAAATATTATTTTTGCTGTTTTGATAGAATAATGTTTATCCGCTGAAACAAGGGATTTCAAAGAACTAAAATATACCGGGTGTTCAAATTAAAGTGTTACAGCTAAAGACCGCCTATTATAAAAGAAACGTATCAGACGAAAGTATTATAGTTTTGTGGGGAAAAAGTTTTGGCTAAAATCGTTTTTTATAGCTAACCATAATATGGTCAACTTTTTTTTCGTCCAGCAAAATTTTCAAGTAGCTGTTACTCAAAAAGTAAAAGTCGAACAAAAAAAATATTTCCATCAAAAGTTTCTTATTTTTTTATGTACTTTAAGAATATGAAAAAAAAAATAATGGGGTTCCAATTTAATAAACAAAGTCCATCTCGATATGGCCATAATATGGTCAGCTATAAAAAAATTAAATTAGCCAAAATGTTTCCCTCAAAAAACTATAAAACTTTTGTCTGAAACTTTTTTTCTAAGATACATATTTTCGGCGGTATTTAACTGTAACACTTTAATTTGAACACCCGGTATATTTATAATTTTTGCTTCTTAATGTGATTTATTTATTTAATTGATCCTAATGTACTGAATTATTAGTAGGTACGAAATTTTTTTTTAATTTTGTGATAAAATATTGCATGCTTTCTGCTGTTTTGGTAAAAATTTTATCCATGGAAACGCGAACCTTTAATCAAAGTCGATTGTAGATTTCTCAAGATTTTTTTGTACAGTGAAATAACAATAATTTTTTGACATGCCTAGGTACTAAAAACAAAAGTTTTGCCAAATAACATTACCTATGAAACTTTTTTCAATTAAATTGAATCATTTTAAAACCCGTTTTAAAGAGATTTAATAAAAAATGCAGAATTTTTACATAAGATTAACTAGGTACTTTGAGATTTTTAGGAATATTCCCAGTACCAATTTTAAAATTTCGCATCTTCTCCTGTTTTGTTAAGGCTAATTAACAACCATGGTTAATTCAAAACATTAATAATACTAATAATTTAAAAATATATAAGATACTTTTCGTAATTGGTACGTCTATGATAAGTAAATTCTAACCTATAAATACTTACATATGAAACGAAGAATTTGGGTCCAATTTGTCTTGTTTTTTACAAATTTTGCACTGTTTCACCATTTTTAAAGTTTGTATGTTAACAAAATAATGGGTAATCACTTTCACAAGAAAAAACTGAGAAAATCCGATGAACAATAACACTAAACAATCTCTACAACGCCAACTGTCAAAACAAGTTGATGGAATTATGAATGAATATTTTATATTCCGTTGTCTAAGCTCACAATAAACAACGTAATATGCCCCGCCTACAAAATACTAGCTGTTGCCACATTTCGTAAAAAATACTTGATATTTAATATACCACTAACAAGTTTTGGAATTTATTGAAAATAATTACATCTAATTTAGTGAAGTTATATCTAATTTAGTTAAATTTGATATAACAAATGATTCAACATTTTTTGGGTTCAGTTGCAGTAAAATAGGTTGAATTATTTTAGCTTTTTTAATATATGTAAATAATTGTGTAAAAAAAACGAGAATAATGAAATAGGCATATGACAACAGCGGATATTATACCCTAGTGTGTCCCTTAGAATATGTCTTATTCACGACAGCACGATATTTGTAAGTAACTACATCTCCTGTTATCTCTGATGACAACAGTATAAATGAAAATGTAGAAAATAAAAAATCAAACAATAAAGAACAAACTACATGTAGAATGTGTAATTTCGCAGTAAATAATAAAAATAAATGGAAGTGTAATCTTTGCTGTAAAGAAAAAGTAAAATAGACCAAAAACGTGTAGCTGACCAAATGGTCCAGGGGCCACTTGACCCTAAATCTGTGTTAAAAACTATTCTTGATATACGAAATGGAGTATACCAGCTAGGAACTGAATATGGTTTTCTGGAGTTTGAGATGGTACATCAAACTTAAATCCAGAAAATGCCAGAATTTCGTTAAGGGAAGCTATTTCTAATGGTTTTTCATTTGGGGTACAAGAGTTTAAAGAAAGTCAGTGAAAACCTAGTAAAGTTTAATGCTGTACAAACAAATGTCTTGATTTTAAGGCACGGGAAAATGCCACAGTAGGTGTCATTTCATGGTCCATGTTCTAATAAATAAAATATGCTTATTGTCTAAGACCCGACCGTATGATTTATGCACTCATATTTTTTTAATTCAAAGTACAACTTTTATAGATAATTATTGATAGAGAAATATAATTTTGCTGGGTTACCTATCAAAATATTGCTGTAAGTACTTTTTTCTACTTTAAGGTGTATTTCTCTTATAATTGTTTATAGAAGAAAATTATTTTAATAAAAGTTGTTTGTGATGTTATTCTCTATACTTTTGGTCATATAAATATTTTTTCAAAAATGGACTATGATTAAGAAATTTGAGGAAAAGTGCAAATATTTCTGTGCAGTAAATATTGAGTGGCGCCCTTCAAATCAAAAAATGTTTAAATTACGAATCACAGATAAAAATTATTCAAAACACTATTTCATAACTTTATTGCAAACAAAAATACTGAAAAAATCAAATTTTGCACATTTTCTCTATTACGGACCATGTGTTTAAAAAAAAAATCATGTATTTGACCAAAATTATAGGGAACAACTCTGGTTGAAAGAATTTTCTTCTATGATCATAACACAGTAACAAAAATACACTTTCTGATAGGCAACCCAGCAAAACCATATTTCTCCATCTATAATTATCTATAGAAATTATATTTTGATTAAAACACAGTGCAGAAATCATATGGTCGGATCTAAGACTATTATTGGTTCTCTGAAGCTTAGCAAGTGTTTTATCTTATGTTCATTTGTTCTTCAGTTTTATTTAATCTACAGTTTAATTTGTTGTGTTAATTAAAAAAATATGTAAAATATTTTAATTCCATTAAATCCATAAATAAAAATTTTTATGACCCTAACTTTAAAGTAAAATTCGTATTTTATAAAACCACTAAAACATTTCAGCTGCCAGAATGTCAAGCAGTATATAATTTTAAACATTTGACAATCTGGCCACGTGTTGACCATCATTTTATAAAACATCTAGGCATTTTACAAAGAAACTAGCCAGATCGGAAAAATAATGAATGTTTTGTAAGATGTCAAATTTTAGAAAACAAGGGGTTTTACAATTTGGCTACGACATATACAAAAATTTGATGAGAAAATAATTATCTCTATTACCAACAAACTTTTTTTTCTTATTTTATTATCATTTTGACAAAATTCAAATTTTACAGCAACTTAAAGTAGAACAGTTAAATAATCTTATGATAACTTCTATTCCAGTTTGTTCACTTTCTAAATATTTTTTGTTCATTTTAAAAATCACTGAATTTTACAATTAAGAGTTATTTAATTGTACTACTCAAAAGAAACAGCCAATATTAAAACTTTTTTGTATGTTTTAGGAAAGCATCATGTACGTTATCAGTATCCTGATGGCCATATTTCTAATTACACAGACAATGAAGTTATTCCAAGGGTAATAATGGAAAAACTGCAGCATATGCCTAAAGTTTTAAAATATTTAATTCCAACATCTGTTACACAAAAAATTGTTAATTTAAGATAGTTATTGATAAGTAAAAAAAATTAAATATTTATTTATATATGATTCACTTAGCGAATAAGAGCATATCTTGCAAAAGCATGACAATAAATTATTTTTATTAGTGTGTTTGTTTCCACTTTCATAACAAATTTAATGAATCCACAGAAAAACTATTCTTCATCAGCTTCTAAATTAATATGACTTCCAAATTTTCCATAAAGATGAGATTTCAGGTCGCTCATAGTTTCTTTAACTTCACATGATTTTTGTTTCAGATCGGTTATCTCTTCATGAATCTTCGTTTTAGTATCGTCCAAACATTTTTGTGTTTTTTCTACATTTTGGTAAATAAAAACCTCTCCTACCAAATAAGGAATTTGTTCTTCTTCATCAAATAAAGCAATTTCGTCACACGCGTCTTCAATACTTTTCAAGTCATTTTCTTTCAGTTTAATTTCATCTTTATAATCTTCGAGTTTCGCATTCAATCTAGCGAATCTATTGATCTTTTGCTGATCTTCATAAGTGATGTGAACGTCGGAATCGGGCTGAAAAGTTCCTTTACTCGTTGAGGTCATTTTAAAAACCTTTGCTTTTAATCACAGAAACAAAAAAAATTCTGGAATGTGAAACCAAATTTTCTGTCATTTGTCACAAATTTGATTAACCTAATTCTTCTTTACATTTTACTGATTGCCTTGTATAACACCGGCTTGATGGCAGAATATTGATAAGCCACAAGCTTTTTAAAACCATATACAATAAAAACCTTGGCAAACAAATACATTTTTATTTTTTTATAAAAATATATGGGTGGGGGCATTAATTAATTAATTATACAGCAAAAAAAATATGTTGAGATGAATAGTGAGTTATTGGCTGTTGTAAGGATTGAATTGAGGCAAGTCACAGACAGAAGAAGAAATTAGTGTTTTTCGTGGTACTAACACTACAGTAAACAGAAATTAGTAAAAAAATATTTTGTTATATCTATTCGATTCGAGTAGGTTTATTTTATTGTGTATTTGTTGTTTGTATAGTGTATAGCCATTTTGTGGTATAGCCTAAATCATAGGCTCACAGTTTTATAGACATTTTAGTAAATTTGATCTATGGCAGATGTTATTACCCTTACTTCCTCAGAGGATGAAAGTTCAGCTCCATCACCACCAAGAAAGGTAGTAATTCATTTTGATTTTTATTCAATAAACGGGAAAACTCCCTTTTAGATTACCACATCATAGATAAACTTATAGGTTACATCTACATACAGTTGTTAAATATAAAGTAAATAAATACTTAATACTAAGCTGCATAGTAGATAATAAAATAAAGATTTTAAGCAACCATGCAGGAAAATAAATACTTTTATTACAGGTCAGTCAAGTCTTCTTTAAATGAACTATGTTAAAAGCATGTAAGCCAGGGACCTTGTTTACTAAAATTATTGCATAATTTTATCAGATATTTTTTGAAAATATAAGAAATATTTAAATTATTTCACTTCCCTATGACCAATCAATCAACATAGGAGTATTAACTAATTATGAAAACCAAGCAATTTCGAATTATGAATTAATGCATGATAAACATCTAATTAACATACAAATTTCAAATTACAGGTCTTATGTTTGAATCTGTTCAATGTAAAAACCTAATACTGTTGGATACATGTTCAATGACTTATCAATAATTTATTTAAATGATAACTTTGTATTTTTAACAAATTATGCCATTGTCGGAAAAGACTACAATGAGACTTAAAATAAAACAGTCTCAAGGTTTCTAAATTGTTTAATGAAAACTCGTTATTAATGAATGGAAATAAAACTAAATGTGTATTTTTCAGATATAGTCATAACAAAACTGTTTATCCTAAATATATTGATCTGAATGGTGACTTAATTGAATTTTTCTCAACCTCAACATTTATGGGAGTTAGTATAGATGTGCAAATGAATTGGATGGACCATTTACAGCAGCTTGGTGGCAAACTCAGTAGAAATTGTAAAGGAATTTAAAAAAAATGTGAATCAATACAAAATGATAACAGCTTATTATGGTCAATTTTATTCATTGCTCAGTTATGGAATTGTTTTTTGAAGTGGTACACATAGTCAAACTATTTTCTTTTACAAAAAAGAGCTGTCTGAATTTTGGAATCTTAGAGATAGTTGTAGAGGTTTTTTAAAATCCTTAAACTTATTAACTATGCCTGTATTGTATGTCTACAAATGTCTTGCTAAGTATTCCACAACCAACAATATTTTTCAACTTTTATTATAGAACATGATCATAACACCAGAAAAAAAATTCATTTTTCAATATCCATTTCATAAAACTAGGTAGTTTAATATAAAAAAGGTTGCATCTGTAAAAGGTATTTACAAAAACATACCACACCTTGGACCAAAATAAGTTGATTTAAGACTTACCTGAGTACAAAGGTGCTCAGTTTTTTTCGCTAGAGGGCCCTAAAGCTCTCCCTGAAGTTACAATTTTTAAATAGTTTCTGCTTTATACTTTTAAAATGGCTCATGTGATTCTGTTTAAATTTAGTACATTGACAGAGTTTTATGTGACAAAAAAATTTATCAAAATGATTCACTAATATTATTCCATAGGCGTAGAACAAAAAAGGTAATCTTGATAAGACTCGATTACTCTCATGGTTTTCGCGAAATTTGTATTTTAATAATTTGGAGTGTAGGTTTTAATGAAAAATTTATTTAATAAAACATTAATACAAATAAGAAAGATGTATAGCGGCCAAACTGAGCAACTTTGTAGGTACTAAGGTATGTTTTTGTAAAATGATTATTACAGTTCAGTCTTCTTCCTATAGAAATTAGAAAAAAATATTTATATTACTATTTAAAAGAATGATAAAATGTTATCTGTAAAGCCCTATAGTGTTAGTGACATAACTACTAACATTTTTTTAAATAATTTGTAGATTATTTCCATTCTAGAACTATATACTTTTTTTGTAATGTTCTATTTCTCTTAGACTACACAATGTATATTATTGTTCTTGGTACCAATAAAGAATTATTTATTTAATATGCACCATTCTTCTGCAGAATTTGCTGTTTTTTCTAGAGTTGGGAAATGTAGCAATAAGTGAAATGATATGAATTTTCAAATGTCACATAATAAGTTTTTTAAATCGTTCCAAAACTTATTGGCCATAGCAGAGATTACTACTGTATATTGAATTAATTTGCTGCTCAATTCCAAAGAATTCTATAAAAATATTCACGCTCTCTGTTGGAAAAGCTGTGATCATTCCTTAGTTTTTTAAATATCGAATTTTTCATCAGTACTTTTATGCCATTTAACTAGTCTTCTGTGCAGGCTTTATTATTGTTTTCCAACACTACTTTAGGGTATTAGAACCCCAACCGTGAATGGTCCAGTGGGGAATCCTTCTTGGAGAGTTAAAAAACATCTCAAAAATTATTTGTATCATGGAGAATTGTTCATCACAATGAATCATAACAGATATGGTTGTTCTTTTTTCACCCTTTCAGGCACTCCTCTGCTGCCCTGTGAAGGATTCCGGCAGGATTCCCCCAATCAGGTTGAGTCCAGCAACTGGCTCCCCTCAATCAGCCTTGGGTTCCAGCCTTGCCTTTTCCTCCTCTGGAGTTGGCATGGCAACACTGCTGCCTCAATGGCATTTTGTACTATCATTTGGATGCTCTATTGCTTCCCATTTATTAAATTCTTGTATTTTTCTTATATAATATACTGTTTAAATAGGCAGGAGCTCTGCGAGTCTAGTCACACATTCAGACCATGGCCAGAATATTAAACATGATCGGTATTTTGAATACTTTCGCAGCGGCCAGCGACCTGGCTTGGTTAAGTTCTTACATTGAGATTGAAGAGTTGAAAAATTAATAAATTTTTATTAGAATTTTTTTTTTTATAAATTACATAAGCTATTTTCTTTTCAACAATTAAGGGCATAATGAATCTTAATTTTAAGCTCTTTAATATGATAGGCTGGTGTATGACATTTATGATGTTTCATGTAGGGTCTGATTGCAGTAGTTTGAGATACCATTTAAATTTATTTTACAGAGAATAAAACCTACACCTATACCACAGATTAACAATTTACCACAAATATCTATTACTAAAGTATCTACTAAAAAGAAAAAAGAAGCCGTTGTAGTGGTATGCTCTGATGATGATGATAATGATGATGATGATGAACTGGAAGAGGTTAAGTTTGTACCATCTGAAAATATCAGTGTACTTAAAAAAACCACAAATAACGAAGAAAATAAAAAATCCGTTTCTCCTGTGCAAAATAACACTGTAGGAATAGTAGTCGATGATGATAATAATAGTGACATAGACGAAGTTAAAGATGTAAAAACTCATGTAGACCGTGAGTTAATAAAAGATTTAGAAGATTCTTGTGAAATTATAGATGAATATAGCTGCGAAGAAAGTTCTGGTAAAGAAAACAGAACTGTTTCAATGGATGCTAGTCAACCAGGTTGCTCCAATGCTGCCGTAAAATCTCCCAATGCAATTTTACTAGGTAAAACATATTCTAACCATATACAGAGTGGGTCAGTTATATCCGCTTGGTTCATAGCAGCTAAATTAAAAAATATAGACAAAGTTTCAATTAGTATTATACAGCGCTGCCGTGTTAATTCAAATGGCCGTAACTGTTTAATACATGAATGTGAGAAAAATCGATTTTTCAAGAAAAATCACTTACGCCCAAATTTCTAATCATTAAATCTCGGATTTTATAGAATATATATCCATGAAAATTATAGAGATGAATAAAAAATTCATTGTTGTCAGGCGTAGTGGTCATATCTTTATTTCAAGGAAAATTGCAGTTACGGCCATTTGAATTAACATGGCAGAGCACTAAAAAAGCTTCATTCCCAAAATAAATTCACCTAGACAAGGTGCACCACATAACCACAGAATAGGTATCAAGGTAAGTTTTATAAATGTAAAGTTTGTTATTATTTGATTTTTGTCTATAATAGGCTTTACAACAAAATTGTATTCATTTAAAATCAGATTCTGCATTGTTGGGTAACCGAAGAAGTAATATTTTTTCTATAAAATTACTATATAAAAACTAGCACTGACAGTAATTTATAGCATAAACATCTCCAATTTGTTAAACCTTATACAAAGTATTTTCAGTAAACCAATAAATATCCAATATTTCAAATTATTGAAATGAAACATCCTGTATTTTTTACATCAGTTGAGAGCCTGGCAAGATTTGCTATTAGACGATATAGGATTGTGCATACCTAAACCAAAGAGTAAGAATAACAAGAGAGGAGTGTGAGAGTGAGCGAATAAATCCAAGAGAGATATTGCTACACTCGAATTTAAAGGAACTTTATAGGCGTCCGTTACAAATTTAAGTAGTGTGTTGTCCTCAGGTGATTCTAATATAGTTTCGCTTTACATGTCAACTAATATTGATTGAGATGGAAAATTTGCTAGTAAACTAAATCGAATGTGATGCATTTATAAAAATTTCGTAAGTATGGTCCTATAGATACAACTACAAACCCAAAAACATCTGGTAAGCAGGTATATAGCATAAAACCTGTAATCTTTCATTTTTATAGACTAGTGTTGTCATAATTTGAGAGATTTGTGATTATCCGCTATCGAACACTACAATATACTAAACATAAGGACCATTTTAGAAGTAATTAAAATAGAGATGTTTGGGGGAAATAAGTTCTGAAATGAACATATCTGCAGATCAATGCAAAAAAAAGATCATATAATTATGTTCTGTATTGGCCACTTATTTCTTGAGACTTCAAGTTAGAGTACCACCAACGCCATTTTTTCCCTTATTCTTTCATAAAGTAGCCATCAATAAAGCCGGTGGTTAAATGTATTAGTTGTTCAAGATTGGTTTCTTCCTTTCCCATGATCGCTGGAAGTTCCTTGTAAAAATAATTTCAACCAATGACGAAAAACTACTAGACCAATCCATTCATTTATAATTAAACCTGAATATAAAATAACAAGTCAATTTTGATTTAAAGAAAAAACTTTTCTTGGATTAGCATCTTTAATACATCTATGGACTGATACTGAATGGGTCTAAGGTGTTTCCTGTGTTATGGAAACATTTATATTTTATTATTGGTTTTTTATTTTTAAATAATATATAGTCCCACGTCAGCCATTTGAATAAGTCGTTCAGGTATTATCTGTGGTTTTAGACCAAGTTATTATTTAATTCAAGATTTATTGCAAAAATAAAATATATTTAATTGAATAAGGTATATCTAGACCCACGTGAGCCATTTAAATGAGTCGTTTGTCGAGCTACTGTAAAGTATATAGATATTATAAAACGTTAGGGAAAATAAAAGTAATTTAATTTAGAAGTCATCTTTAATCCAAAGACCATTAAAGTTGCTAATCTCCTACCAGCGTGCCTACCAACCTCAATGGAGTTAATAAAATATTCCGTGTTTTGCACGTTATTAATGTCTGATTAAGCACCGAAAAAGTCCCTTCTCTGCCGAAATTAAATATTCGTTTATTTTTGCTAAGGGTTCCTAAAGATCAGACGCGGAGTGGCCTTTTGAAATATAAACTTATTTATTTGTACTTACATAGTTTTTTAAGTAATTAACCTGTTAATTTTATATCTATTTGGCTTATAATTTACGAGTGCTTAATCGTGTATAAATCCCGGTTTTATTCCTTGACAGCAACCGGAAATTAAAGCCTGTTATTTTTACCTTCCTAAATCTAAGTCAATAATATTTAGACTCCTGATATTTTCAATATCTCCATCTGGTGCTCCACCCGAGTCCTTTTGACGTAGTATCGCAAGGCTGGGGACTAAACCACATTAAATAATCTGGCGCCCTAGCAAAGTTCCGACCTAAGGCGTCATCAGAAAAAAAAGATATATTTTCGTTTAGCCGAAAACTCTGCATCTGAATTAAAAAAAACAAAATTTTGTTGTGAAACCTATTAAAGATAGAATCAATTAAAAAAATTCATCAATTTACAAAAATTATCTTGATACGTTTTCTGTGGTTATGAAGCATCGTGTATATTATTTTAGAAATGTAGTTTCTTTGGTGCTGTATAATACTGAATTAAAACTATGTTCTAAAACGCCCGTATGCACGGTACACGTTTAATCCAGATTAAGGGTTTAATCACGTTTAGTACCAGTTTTAGCTATGTACCGTAATAAAAATCATTCTTAATCCGATTTTATTCTAATCCGTCAATATCGGAGGATCAAATTCACAAAGCACATAGAGGTTCCACGTGAATGACCAAGGTCAAAACCGACAACTGACATTTTTTATGCTATTTGCTCCAAACTCTAGATGGGGCTACTGGTGAAATTATGATTTCTTACTCCATTTTTAAGCCTTATGGGAGAAAAACTTAACCAAAGACTCCAAAGATGTGACGTGTATTTATTTATGTTCTTGGTTAGTTTCATTTTTCCGTCTGATTTTAGTGATTTTTTGTTGGCTTTGGCTTTTGGTTTCTGTTTATAGTTTCGTCTTAGTTATTTGCAAAATTGTGATGTTTCGCTTTTTTATTTCCTACTGTGTTTTGCAATAATTTTGGTGCTACGTTGAAAACTTCGAGAAAAACTTCATTGATTCACCATATATTCACCATGCATCTGCATCATAAAAAGACAAACGGGGACAACAACTAATTGATAATCAATTTATCACTGGACTAGATTCCGAAATCTGTATCACCATCTGTATTTGGAAGGAAAATACCTATTTATCATTTAATGAATAGTTAAAAGGATTCACCTTTTAATACAATACCTATATTACATTTGTCCTCAGTTAAAAAGACATTTATATAACTTTAGTGTTAATAAAATGTAATATCCTAGTCTCTACTTCACATTTACATTATTGATAGGTATTTTAAAGATTTGAGATTATATATCTATTTGCTCCAAGTAAGTATTCGTTAAATATGTATTATTATTTGTATTTATTTTTATCTAATAATATTTATTTAATTTATTAATAAACATATTTTAAGAATGTTCTATTTTATTATTTATTGATATATCTTATATTTATTTAATAAAAATATGCAGAACCAACTCTCCACATTAGACCCCTTATAACAAATTAATTCTTCAAATTTGGTATAATCGACCTAAATTATTTTGTAAAATAAAAGTTTCGAACTTACTAGTTCCATACTTTATTTTATAAAATAATTTATGTGGAAATCATTTAAAATTTAATTTAAAACTACTACCTACTCCTAAAAATTACAATTTGAATTTACCGCCATCTGTCAATTGTCATTTTAGTTCCAGCTCCAAACACAAGGTGGCGCTAATTTGGTTTAAAAGTTTAACATTGGCGTGGGGTCTCTAGAAGATACATGCTTTGTGATCAAATTGGTAATCGAGATTTTCTTATGTCAAAAAGATGTCAACGTTTTGTCAGTATATTCGTGGTGAGTTCGGTCTACGCACTCTTTTCACTATATTCACTCCTAAAGTACCTAAGGCGTTCGGGTACGGAAGGAGTTAAAATAAAAGTTCCTCTTTGACCGTTCGGAGATGGTGGAGTGGAGTGTGGATCGGGCATGCGCATAAGGTGATTTAAATCGATAATAAGTTAATTGTGACTGATTCTTTAGTAAATAAATTTTTTTTTTGGTTCCCGTGAATATCATTAATATGGAAAAAACTTATACGGTCGTTACTGATAAGTACGATTAAATTTTAAGTACTGGTATGTCACATTGACAACTGACATTGCACTCCGAGAGTTAAAGGAGTAAAATCATATTCGCACTCCGTTTACGCCTAATTACTCCACTCCACTCTGGAGTGCGCAGCCCGAACTCACCTTTGGAACTCTCTATTTGCGTTTCATTTATTTTATTTGAATTTTAATAAAAAACAGAAATAGAATACCAGCTTTTCTTGGAAGATGATAAAGATACTAGACAAAATTACGAGCGAAGTGAATATGTTTATACGATGGGCAACTTTGTCATTTTTGGGAGATTTTTTACATTCTAACGTTACATCATAATTCTGTAGTTAGATGGCAAACCCAGATATGTTGAAAAAGGTAAAAATAAGTAAGCAATACATATAATATTTATGTGGTTTTGTTCACTTTTAAATGCTGATATGTCATATCCATATAGTTTTGAACATGCACAGTGTAGGGAAAGTATTCATATAGGTATAACGTTTTGCATAGAAAAGCTTGAAATACAGCACTTTGTATGTATTTATGTTAAAATTACCAAAAATGAACTTAATGTTTTTGCCATCCAACTATAGAATTTTTTTTTTATTAATTTGACATTCTTTTTCACCTTGCGTAAAATTCGGTATGCGTTTTACGGTGTGTTTACGATTTTGGTACATTTAAAAAATAGGGCTTCTATCTTCAACGGCAACTTTGACATACATTTCTCCTGCCCATATCTGAAGTTTTCTTCTTCTGTTTTTTGTAAAATTTATATAAATCCAGTGTTGTCAGATTACTAAACTAGATTATCTAATCCGTAGCCGGTGCATAGAAAATAACCACTAGTCATTTAAACGAGATTTGCAAATCTGGATTAAATTTTAAAACGGTGCTTATGGGCGTATAAAGAGCACTAAAACCTACATTCAAACGAATAACTTTAAATATTTTTGATTAGCCCGTATACGAGTTATTGCCAATTTCTTTTTAAATATTTCTCCTTTTTTATGACTCTGTATTCATGAATACACCTTTAATATTTTCGATGTACGAGTTTTTAATAACAATAAAGCTCATAATTCAAAATGACAACTTCATTTGACAGTCATATTTCTTAATGTAACGTTTCAAAAACAGTTGCACTCGAATGGGAATAGTTCAGATCGTTTTCAAACCGCATGAAATATATTTAAACCAGTCGACCACTCGAATATAGCTGTGGTTAGAAGTTAACTGTCAGTAGAACCAAAGTTGCGTCACACTAATATGGCGTATAATGTATTCAAAGTTCTCCCGTGTAAAAAAAGGATATGACTCATTACGTCATTGATAATACTAAAAACAATTTCAATTAAAGAATAAAGGGTCAAAATCAATACTACATCAAACTTTTTTTTTGTGATACTTTCTATATAACCTTTCTTAACTTTCTATTTACTACACACAATGTTTGATTTCCATTTGTATGGGTAACACCTATTCTTTTCAATTATTCACTAATTCTCCACTCAAAGATATTTACTAAGTTTCAAGTACTTCCACCAAAAGAGATGTAGAGAAGTCCACGGCTTTGCTTCTTTCTGTTTGAGAGGCACTCTTACCGTCTCTAACTTGTGGGATACCAAATCAACTGTCGTCTTACCAACCAAGTATGATCCATATAACGGAGGCTGCTCTCATGTTTTTTTTACCATATTTTCAATACCGACATCTTGACGATTCTATTCTTCTTTTCACTCCTTCCAACTTACAGAGGCAATACGTTTTCCAGCATATCTTGATCTTTAAATCCAAAACTTCATTGCCTCTAGGTTTTGGTCGTCTTTCTACTCTTGTCCGTCCATATGTCACCACAGTCCACACATATCATTAGGAACTTGAACCTCAATGACCAAACCATCAAAATTTTCACTTGGTCCATTTCCTCAGAACTTTCTTAGCTCACCAACAATTTTTTGTACCCAACTTTTTAATACTATAATGTTTTAACTCTACAATATAGTAACGTTTTTTACAATATGAATCTATGTTACTTGTTACATACACACAACAATTTATTTAATCGTAAATTGTTTTCCTATTTTAATTTAGTTTCATGTATTACAGCCCTGACGATGGCCCTGTGAGGCCGAAAGTAGTGGCACCTGTATTTAATATTACAATAAAAATTTGATGTGGTATTGATTTTATTTTTCTTTTCTTTGAGTAAACTGGCTACATTTCCGATATGGATAATTTGTCATTCTTAAAAAAAAATTGTTGGTAATATTTGTAGATAGTTTGACTATTTTAGATAAGTTCATCAAAATCATAGACGATCAAACAAATGAAGACAAATATAAAATTGTAAAAAGCAAATTTGAACAATTGCGACAATTATTCAATGGAAATCATGAGTTAGAAGAATCGACAAATTTCAAGAATATGTTATTGTCTAATACCCAACAAGCAGAAAAATCCGCAACTACAGCAGTGTACAGTTTCAATGAAATTTATCAACATTTAAGAGAAACTTCAAAGGCAGACACTATTGAAGTAGACAAAAATACTTTGATGGATCTTAAAAGATTAGAAAAAAACATCAAGAGGATTATCGCAAAAATTAAAAAAATGGAAGAAGAGGAAGTAGATTTTGATGAAGAGGAAGATTCCTGTTACATGAAATTAGATAAGTAGGTACATTTTAATATGATATTTTTTATACAGTTTGCATTATAAGTGTCCCTCCACTTAAATTCTAACAGTATATCTATTAGTATTCAGATGGTTATGAATATAAAAAATTATCCATTTCTGAAATTAAAAAAAATGACTCGCCCATTACAGTGGTAGTCAAAAGGGTTTAGATGAAAAGAATATATACCACTGGACTATCTCATCCATTTCTAATACCAATTTAATTTATTTTTTCAGATACGTAGATAGACTGGATAAACTAAATAAAAAATATTGCAAGATGTTGAAGAAAAATCCTTTCAGTGGTCGAATAATTTATTCCAAGCTCGATTTTGTCGATTCTGAATTTAACGAAATCAACAGAGCGATAAGTAAAAAGTATAAAAATAACAACAAATTTCCTAGTTATTATGAAATGCAAAATTTTATTGAAAAAATTAACAAAGACCAAAAGTTAGGCCTGAGCGACTCAAAAATTAAGAATGAAAGTAAGTATAAAATTCGTCAACTATAATTCAAGTGTCGTTATCATGTAAGTACAGCTCGACAAATCTTGCTAGAGACTTGAAATTTGGATGCGCAATAGTCCAAGCACTTATTAATTACGAGCCCTAACCACTATATGTTCGGCGTTTTCATAATTTTATTTCAGATATTTATTAGGAAACTTATGTTTATATTTGTTTGGGAATCAAATGAATATTCTTTTCCTACATTTCTATATGTTGATATAGTTCTAGTAAAAATAACGATGTCATCTCATCATATGTTTATATTTGTTTGTGATCAAATGAATATTTTTTTCCTACATTTCTATGTGTTGAAATTTATTATATAACAGTTTCTTGTTAGTTATCGGTGATTTTAATATCAGCAAATATGCGGAATATCTTAGTAACGGAAAAGTAACAAACAAATTTCAATAATCAATGACTTCTCTCAACTTTTTAATTTATCTCAGTCTAACTTTATCTTTAATGATAATAATAGGCTATTAGATCTAGTCTTCGTTAATGATAAATGTCTAGTAGAAAAATCGTTTGATCCATTTATAGTGGAAGATAACATCATCCTGCTCTGGACATCACTTACTTGGAAGTAAAAACTAACCGTAAAAACAACCTGGCATCGTCCTTTGAAAACTTATAAATTTCAAAAAAAGCCAATTTTCCACTAATGTACAATTTAATTTCCAGTATTGACTGGACATTTTTAGAAGCCTTTAATAATGTGGAAGACGCTTGAACATACTTTCATGGAAAATTATATAATATTCTTGTTAAATGTTGTCCCAAATATTCCTGCAAGCATCAAAACAAATATCCAGCATGGTTTAATAGAGAAATAATCAATCGGTTACGTGTCAAAACTAAAATGTGAAAAAAATACAAACGAGAAAATGATTTAGAAGCCTTTGAAGACTTCAAACGCATAAAGGCTGCTTTAAAATTAGAAATAGACATTTCTTACAGAGCATATATTAAAAAGACTGAAAAAGAGATATCTAGTAATCCAAGTAAATTTTGGGCATTTATAAATATGTAGTAAGAAATCACAATCCAAATCCCCTCAAATAATGTCTTATGACAACAATTCACTAAAAACTCCATTAGATATTCTCAATGGATTTGCTGACTTCTTCAGTCATATATTGCCTCTAGCCTGTTTATTGCTAATTCAAATTCACGACTCAATGTTCCGTTCCGTAATGTCAATAGTTTTACCGAAAAAGAGGTATATGAAACTCTAAAGTCTATTAAACCTAAAAAGACAACTGGTCTAGACCATATTCCAGCTTTTATTTTAAAGGATTGCCTTTCAACTTGCACAGATTTCTCCAAGGCATTTGACAGACTTGACCACGGTATTCTTCTTGGAAAACTTACAGGGTTTGGGTTTTCCCCCCTTTGATAAATCTCTTTCAGTGCTATTTAGTAAATCATACTCGGTTTGTACAGCTTAATGAGTTTAAGTCTGTCAAATTTGCAATAACATCTGGAGTTCCTCAGGATTCCATTCTGGGCCCGTTACTATTTAATATTTTCATCAATGATATCTCGAGTGTAATTAAAGAGCAGTTTCTACTGTATGCAGATGATTTAAAATTATACAAGCGTATGTCAAGTATTGACAACTGTGAACAACTTCACATGAACTTAAATCTAGCGGTTGAATGGTGTAATAATAATAAAAAACTTGAACTTAACCCAATTAAATGTAAAGTTATGTCTTTTACTTTAAAAACTGACCAAATAAAATATAATTATTTAATAGATATTGTTTCACTTTAGCGACCAGATACTTTTACAGATCTTGGAGTAATTTTTGATCCCGGATTGACCTTTATAGGTCACATTGATAAAATGATTGAAACATAGTATGTATGGTTTTATAACTCGCTGTACCAGGGATTTGCGACCCATTTTCAATAACGAATAAAAAAAATTACGTTAGAAACTGTCACAAAGATATCGTCACACTTTCAACAACTTAACACGTCAAACCACAAAATAAGGTGTTTCATTATGTGTGTCAAACACGTAAAAAATTCTAAACGTCAAAAATTCCAAAGCCTCCCAAATATTAAATTTAATGATTGCCGAGGATATTTTTCGAACATTTAAATGGTCATTTATCTTTCGATTAGATACTGTTTTTTAAAAAATTAAGATCATGGTGCGTCATGCTCTTACAAATAGTAGAAACATCAACATCTATTAAATTTAAGTAATTTTTAAAACATAGATGTTCTTCAACCTTAAGTTTCCTAATTATATAACGGAAATAAAATTATAAAAATGCCGAACATATAGTGGTTAGGGCTCGTATATTATTTATTATTAATTGGCTTTTATTTAGACTACCGTCGGAACATATTTATTTTATTTTTGGGCAAGGAGTTTCCACACAGTGTATTGAAATATGGGGTGTGCTCTAGTTGAGTTAGAATTTCCGCCATTACCGAATTATGATTAATCCCCTATTTTTATTTAAACGTTTATTATTTTTACTTTTTAATTTAATTATTTTATCTTTCTTATTCTATTTCTGTAAATAAATATTCTGGACATTCAATTATACAGTTAATTCAGTTAGAATTTCCGAATTATTAAGAGCATCCGTCTTAATGTTTTTTATTTATTTTCTTAGTTTTTACTATTATTTTTGTGGGCAATTTGTTGTGAATAAAGACCATTATTATTTGGGTTTAATATTTGCCCCACCGTGGTTACGGTTGGTTTGAAATATATAATTGTATATAAATTTCCTTTTTGTTTCTTTTAACTATGCCCCCTTTTTCTCTATCTCGTCCAGAATCATCTTTAGGGTGATTGCCGTTTAGGTTTAGTGAGGTGGAGATTATTTTTTTAGGTACTACTCCAGATGTAAGTGACTGCTTGGAATTACTTACTCCACTGGGGCTACTTTGAGTGCACTCTAGGTGTACTCTAGGGCCGCAGAGCAAACTGCGTTATCAAAACTGGCGCCCGGTATACCCTTGTTCTAGATAACAGCCGGGCATCACCCACGACTTCCACTTTAACGCAAGTGAATCAAGTAGATGTGTCAGAGTATAGATGTTTTCATTTAAATAAATGATATGTTCTTCGTATGCACGTGACCCGGCGACTGTAATGGCAACATTGATACTATATTGTTTCTTCTTGTGCATGAACAAACGCTATTTACTATTCACTTTAATACGAGCAAAGCAGACGCAAACGTTTGTTGTTGCCAGCACTAAACCAAGTCGCTTTATTGCTAGAGTTTTTTTACCTAAAAGTAAAATTTGGATGTAAATTTATGAAATCTTCTGACATATGAACACTAGATAAATAATCTTGGTGTAAGAATAGCTAAACCTCGCCGATGCTAATGGTCCAGGAGGCAGTGAAGTTTTTTGGTACTTATTTTCCCAGTCAGGAAACACCGATAGAATTATTCCATTTGTTATTCTAAGCAAAATTCATATATATGTAGGGGGGGTTCCGAGGGGTTGAGGCGGAAAATGCGTTTGAAAGTACAAATATACTGCACTTTTTTTCCAATAATAAAAATAATTCTATTAGTAAGAGATATAGTAAAGTGGTATGTCTGGCAGCCCTTGACCTTATTTTCGCAGTTCTAAAAATTTGTCAGATGATAGTTTATATCATAATTACAGCTGCAAATATAGTTCTGGCTAATATGGAACACCCCCAAAGCCTTGCCAGACTCGTCAGGCGCGCTAAATTCGGCATGTTCAATTATACAGGTGATTGTTGTAATCTCTACATGTTTTTACTTTTCATAATTTATTGCTATACATTGGACATATATGTTTATTTTGTTCCTGTCCAGCAGATTCTGGGTGAAATTTCCAATTCCACAAATCACATTTTGTTGGCTGCAAAATAAACATAAGATTTATATGATAACCTTAATGTTCTTATCCTGAAAATGCCACATTATAAAAAAAATAATTACCCCCCTGTGATTCCATATTTTTTTGTTAACTGCAAAATAATGTTTAGTTTATGTTTAAAATTAAAGATTCTGAAAAGTTAAGTAAATTAATTAGTGAATTTCAAAACCACTATAAAACTAACCCATCTCAGATGTAGTAAATATTAAAATTGTTATTGTATTAATTTTTTTCAACTCTTATATGCACTCAACAAAATTATACAAACTTATAAGATGTATAGATTTAAAATATCGCGAATAAGCGAAATAAGCAAACTAACGAAAAATTTAAATTCTGAAATCTAAGGCATGGAAGAAGGATAGGTTAGGTTAATTATCATCAAATTCCAAAGTCTCCAACGAAATACGAACTGACACGATACTAAACGAAGGATCATTTAGCATCGGCTGGAGTGTGACAAGTCTCCTGATTCACCTACAGTGCTTCAGCGAGTCTGTGGCGCTATGAATGTAATTCCCGAATAGGGGTTGCTCAGGCGCCAGTTTTGATATCGCAGTTTGCTCTGCGGCCCTGGGGTGCACGTAGAGTACACCCTCAGTAGACTCAGTGGAGTCCAGGTACAAACAAAAAAAAAATGAAACGGATAGACCTTCGCTGTTAAGTTGACCTACACTGGGGTAGTAAAGTAAATAAAGTTTTTCACTGCACTTTTACCTATTAATCACTACGCCCTGAAAACGGAAAAAAGCAAAGGCGTAATTCAAAATTAAACTCAGGAATTTCAATCAAAAATATATTTACAAAATAAATGAAATAAATAATAATTAAAAATAAAATAAACGGGATGAAGTCGGTATATATTTATCTGTTTAATAACGGTAATAAAATAAATGTAGAATTATGTATGTTGATAAAATAAAAGGTCTCGGTATTTACAGAAAATGATAAAACGGTAAAATTAACTATGACCTATACTATACCCATAAGAAAATAATAATAACAATTTTCCCTTTAAAAAAATTAAAACGGTGGGCACTAACACCCTTAGCACAAATTCCTTGTTATTAATGAAAACGGCCG